CCAACAGTTACAACGAAACCAACGCTTAGTCAATGCTACGACTGTCAACTAACGGCTAAGATTCTGTTAATAAGTACTAGACCATCATTGGCAAATGACTGGCTGTAAAATGACGACCAAATTTCTGTCATCCGGTACTGGACCATCACTAACCCAATAACTAGCTGACAAATGACGGTCTAAGTTCTGTTAATCAGTACGAGGCCATTATTGGCGAATGGCTGGCTAAAATGACTAGAGTAGTACCATCTGCCAGTACTGGGCCCAAGTTATCATCCAGTACTTAATCAATACCGCGCCAGTAGTTTGCCAATACTGCGCCAGTACCTGAATTGTGGTAACCATTACCCAGTATTCGAAAAATTACAATTTTAGATTTGACAATATGACTATACACGAATCCATTTCTATCTATTTCAATTCCTTAGAAATTGAAATAAATAGAAATGGATTCGTATGGTGCCGAATCCAAAATTCTGATTTTTCAGATACTGGATAATGATTCAGTACTGGGCCGATAAAAGAATTCTACATAGGATACTGTTTCAAGAAGCTTGAGGTAGCGCCCGAATTTCGTAAGGCTTGCAATCCGAATAATGCAAGCGCATTGCCGAAATGGACTGAACAGATCAATCTTCGAGATGTAGGGATTGTCCATCGAAAGTGATGGATATACCCAATGATCGATGTATGTAATCTAATTAGCCATGGTGGTGTCTCGATTGATTACCAACTCATACAAACAAAAGACCTATCGATTTATCGTCTAAATAGAGATTACTATGTATGTAAAGAACGTGTCTTTTAGTTAACGCCGTAATAACTTAAGTCACCGAAAGGAACAAAAGCGAGAAGCGATATTATTGTATACATACTCACATACACGTATACACATACATACATGTACACGCCGAAATGGTACATAGATGCACACCTGAGTGACGGACAGTTCACACGAACACAACTTGTCGCGCTAATATTCGAGAAGAAAAAAAAAAATATATATATATATATAAATATTTATGATATGAATGGCGATCGGAGAGTAAGATGAATTGTGACGTGACGGACGAGGAATCGCCCCGTCTTGAAATCGGATTCAACGAGACAATGCCATAGAGAGAAAGGGGTGAGAAACGATGCTCGTAAATCCCGTGGGCGATTTGTACAGAGAGCGATACCTCGTCGCGTACGTGCACCACACGATCTATATTGTATTTTACGATATTACACGATTATATGTGTACGTACCTACAATGGATAAGAGAAAAATAGACGTCTAATGAGGTATGAGTGGCCGTGAGATAAAGGGACGATCCGGTGGGGCGTGTGCGGCCGCCCGCGTATAATTCGATGATAAAATAGGTGGTGTGTATAGATAATGTAGACTCTAGTCAACATAATATTTGTAAGATGACGCACACACACATTGTCTCGTTCGTTTTCACACCGTTAGTTCGCATCTAGCTCCCCTGGCTCTTGATTTCATTTTTATCTCTTTCCTTCCTTCGTCATCCGCTACGCTCGATCGAGACGAGAAAGATGACGATTGAACTGCGTTTTCCTGTCGTTCGTCCGCCGGATGGCTACACACGGCTATTTGCTGACGGGAGAGGGGCAATCATTTTCCTTCTTATTAATCCCATTTCGAAACGAGCTCTTCTGCGAGAGAGATGGTTCGCCGATATTAATCGCGGATAATTTCGAATGTCGCACGATAAAGTGGTCGTGAAGGGGGTGGTCGAGCGCGTTCGTTGGATTTCTTTTTACATCTTCGGTATAACAAAGACTGCGATTGTAACTGTAGTATTCGCGCGGACCACACGTGGAAGAAAAACGAACGGTCTCGTTCCGAGTTGGTTTTATGTGATATATATACGTACGTATGTGCATATGTATTTTATTAAGTGAAAAAGCAGGGAAGAGAGCGAATCGGGGAGGGCGAATCGGGATTGCGCGGATCTCGTTGGCGCGCAGTCGTCAGAGAGTCTGTTATACTTATATAAAATACGTATATCCAGCGAGAGATATATATTATATATATAGAAATGGATGTGTTTTAACAGAGGATGTATATGTCGAATGCCTATCGAAAACTTCAATAGACAACCGTGAAAAAATCACACTCGAGCATGTTCGATTGTTTCGTATATAAGTTGCCACGATCGAGGGGGTAACCACTATCTGAAATATTGTCCCACAGATTACATGATTTCATTTAATTTTATATAATTTTATTTGATGACAAATAATTTTCCTCACTATATATGCGGTCATTTGGTAAAATTAACGATTTTATCTAATATTACACAATTATTTCTTGTAATTGTCGGATTATATATCGAAATTTTATACAAGTTTTATAATGATTTCAGGGACTCTGTCTCACGATTACATTAAGTGATTACCCCCTCGGCCACGATTTATAATTTTATAATTATCATTTCCCAGATAGCGAGCTGAGATTATTTGTCGTCATCATGACGTTAAAGTGGCATTAAAGATGTCATTATGACGTCAAAATAACGACAAATAATATCAGCTTCCCAAGAAACATGCCCAGTCAAGAGAAAGTCAAAATGACTTTATTTTGACGTCACGAAAGTCAAAATGACAATTTTTGGATACAAAATTTAACTGTTTCTTCACATTGAGAATCAAAAGAAAGTCATTTTGATTTTTTGTGTGTTCCTTGAGAGAATTGCTACCTGGGTTGTAACAAATCGCTGCGCAGAGAACATACGACGGGGGCTAATTCTCTCCCCCGAATCCAGACGTAAGCACCACGGCCTACGGTAATTGTAAAAAGAAAGGAAAGCTGTTTATACGTATATTCACGATGTTTTTAACATGCATAAACAATCCACGATACACCGAGGTCGGCTAATGTATGAAAATTGTAGCAGTAGGAAAGTTTTAAGAGAGGGTCCCGAGAGACAATCGGGTATCACGAATCCGCGCCATGCCCAATTAATATCCGACAAGTACGACGAGAAAGATTACGCGAAGCCAATACGTAAAATGACAGTCAAGACTGCCAAACAAGTACCTACGAGAACATTCCTTCCTTTCTCTTACTCCTTTCCCTTAACTCTTTCGCTATGGCAAGTAGAAAATTTTCTTTATTTCGATGTATTCGATTTATAATATTAGAACAGAAATTGAAATTCAATGAAAATTTTCTTTCTACGCTGGAAATGTAGGAGTTATCAAGTTTAGTGATTTAGCAATACTGCAATCAAGTGGACGCAAAAGAAGCCAGGTCATTATTAATCGATGTATTTCAATCTGTATAAATAGGAGGAGAGAACTGTAAGTAATATTATCTTCTGAAAATACACGAGGATAATGCAGAAATGCAAATATCACTTATAATTAATTCGAAATGTATTTTTGTTTGTATATAAATGAAAAAACGACTATATTATTATCTCCTAAAAATGCATGAAAATAATGCATTTGCAGGCATCAGTTCTAAATGGGCTGCAACCGCTGGTGCATTACTGCATCGAGGAATTAGTGATCTTATACCAGTAGCGAAAGAGTTAATCTCCGAGCATAGCGACCGCACTGCCTTCGATAGAATTTTTTAACAAATCAATTTTCTGACCGTCGCTCGGGAGTGAAAGAGATCATTCGCGCCGACAAAGAGAGAACGAGCCGCATGACGTGTTTAAGCGCGAAGCAAGAATATAAAAATCAAAAAGCTCTGTTTCTCTGTTCCTATGATGTCACGCGAGTCATCCTTGTCACGACATGCGGCTCATCGTTAATTATAAATCACTGAGCGGCAAACGACATGCGTCAATGAGCCGCGAAGAATACCAACGCTGGTCTAATGCGGTCTCCATCAAATTCTATTACTCGACATACAGTACGTATCTCAACGAAAACGTAAAGAAAAAAAGAAACAAAAGACAGAGAAATTTTAGAGAGGATTAAACGGATATAATGATTGCGATATCAGTCATTATGTGCGATAGTATTACTCGTTTTTTTAACTGTACGCTTCATTCGAGAAGAATTGTCCGTGCTTAAGAACATATACGTCTAATAAATAGTTTGCGAGAAATTTGCAGATGGTCAAATCAGCTTTACTCACCAGCGAGTCATCATAGGCCTTCATAAGCACTGATCCGGATTTAGTCGCTTCCTAAGACGCGAATGTGATAACTAAATTCACTGTGATGCACTTATTATTATAAGTATCTTACTCTCGCCATTCGATCTCTTAATAATTATTTGTGCAATTGTTTCTTCTTTATCGGATTTCATGTTGAAGTAAATTATCATTGACAGAGTACTAGTTTATATATAATTAAAGATTTCCTCATTTTATTAATCACATGAAGATTACTGATTAGTCAGTTATAGTGGTTATAAAAATCCAATAGTGAAGATATTTATTTGAAAATTATTCTTACTTTTGTATAAAAAGGAAATATTTTTCCAATTGATAAATAATTTAGTAATATAAAATAATAATTTACATTTTTTTATATAAAAATGGAATAGAATATGCGAGAGAGATACTGTTAAAAATAAACAAGAAATGCATTTTTTATCAGATGCATTTTTTAAATTTCCGCACAGCATTTTGTGTAAAGTAGAAATGCTCTTTTCCATCGCTCCTTTCCGATACTTGGTGCAGCCGAATATAATTATATGTAGCAATACTTTCCACTTAAATCTTTATACGGTTTTTTGTTGTTAATCATCTTTTAGGAGAGTATACCTACAATAATGAAATGTTGGCAACGATGAACAACGATTCTACTTGATTGAACTGGAATTTAATAAATATATCCATTGATGCAAGATTTGCAAGTAAGTATTATTTAAATGTGATAAAATAATTATAATGAATAATTACAACGATTAAATATCTATATAAATTGTTTGTGATGTCGGATTATGGGAATGGATAAAGGTGCAATCATTTCTTCCCTCTTTTTTTTTTTTTAGAAAAATAAGTTTTTATTTGTAAACGAAGTCTTTGATAGAGTAGTCACTCCAAAAGACGAACATCCAGAGATCTAGATTCGTAAAGCGACGTTGGCAATCGCAAGAATCTCGATGGCGTAAATCGTAACTTACGTACTTGACTTAATAACACTCATGCTTTGGCAATACTTCGCTTATTTAAATCTTTCGCTTTTTTGGCTTTCTTTAAATTTCTTTTTGGTTTCGATATTTGATTAAAACACTTAGACGGTGATAGTGAAATCTTTGGGCGATTTGGAGAGTGAGCTGTTCGAGTGGAGGCCGCTCGGTCGTTTCCTGTGTAACTTCAGCTTCATGTCGATGTCACATTCGGCCTCACTGGTTTCGTGGACGTCGGTGAAGCCGCTCGGTGGCTTCAATTCCAACGTAGACAGCTCGCTGCCCCAATCGTCGTCCCTCCTCATCATTCTGAACGTGCCCATCGGCTCCTCTAGGAGACAGAGCGATTCGACGGATTTCCTGGTGCTCGACGGCTCCTTCTCCAGTCTGTCGTAGGAACCAGGACGCACCGGACGACTCGGCGACGCTCCTCGCGAGCACGAATGCACTCCGGACTCCGATAGCTTCAGCACCGGTCGCAGGATACCGGGAATACGACCGTCGATCGCGACGTCGATCGCGCCGCGACTCCTGCGAAAACAAGTCGTCGTTCAAATGAAAGAAAAATCACTTCGAAGAAATTAAAACTTATTCGAGCAAGTTGTATCAAGTCGTTTATACAAATTAATTAATCAAGGAATATGGTGATACTTTTCCGAGTCAAATACTAGTTGTTGATGTGTAGTTTTATTTCGTAAATTCGCAGTATCCGAGAATGGATTGAATTGGATTAAAATGGATTCAAATTTTTAGAAATACAGATTCATGAATGTTAAAATGAATCCTTTTCAATCCGAATACGTTTTTATTCATTTATAGGAATTGCATGGAGCATATCTGTATACTTTTCAATCATAAAATAATATTAGCTTTTTCAGTGCGTTTGTGACCATAGTGAATACTGTTCAATTCATAGTTTTGAATAGGAAACGCAGTTTTTCAATCCAGTCGTATCTAATTGAATCTAATTGAATCCAATTGAATTTAATTGAATCCACAAAAAAGTATTCGCTATTTAAAAATACGAATTTGAATAGACAAAATTCAATCCATTCTCGGATACTGGGATAACAAACGTTTCGATCCACGATCCTTTTCAATGTCTTGTGTGAGTCGGAAAAACATTACTATATTCCCTTATTTATTTCAACTGAATCTAATCAACATTACTTATTAAATTAATTAATGTAATAAATGATATGTCCGATTTAGGACAAGTACTGAAAAACTTTACTTTCGCGTTAATACATAATTTAAAGAGAGACATCTATTATAGATTGATTTAAAGATTTTAATGAAAATTGGCTCATTGCCCTTATTTCATTATATTATAGTATTATTTATGTAAGCGAACTCTTTCGTGATACGCTAATAATATCACAAATCCAAAAATTGTTCTCTCAGTGTAAGTAATGTGCGAATCTAACACTATCGACGTTCTTACCGTTGCTTGTCGAGCCTCGGGAAAGTCTTTCTCTCAGAAATTGGTGACGGCTCGGTTGATGTACTTGATTCGTGCGTGTGGTACAGCACATCTGGAAAGACGTACGCGAGACGTTGACGCAAGAAACGGATTAGTGGTTGCGCGCTTGATTTACGAGATAGGCTGCGTTACACGCGGCCCGGACACAGAAAACTGAATACTAACTTACTATGATGAACCGGTCGCTGCACCAGGGCGAGCCGTTGCTCCCGTTGATTCACGGAGTTTGGTCCCGGCGAGCGAGCCATTATCGACATCGGGCCGGAGTCGTCCAAGTGATTCGACGACTCGGTACGACTGCTGGTACCGACCTCCGTGTCGCTGTCCGAGCCCAGCGTGTCGTACTCCTCCGACTCCGACTTGAACGATTTCGATTTACGTCGCGCTCGACCACGTACTTTCGTGTACTGGTCCACGTCGCACTGCAATCGATTCGCTGTATGGGATTCTTTGCGGGAGAAATATGAGAAATGTTTGACACGCGACTTTTTCGCAAATGTCATCTTTAAAATATTCATTCGTAAAATATGGTGAATAATATCACGTTATTTTCATTCAATCGAAAAATATTGGCAAATTAATCAAATATTATTATTGAATATCTTTAGTTCTCTTTTTGTAGCCCAGTTAATTTTTAACAAACCATTTGCTTCATATTACCTTTCGCAATATATTTGAAACTGTAATTAAATTTGAACACACAGTAATTAAATAATGTCGGCGATTCTAATTTAAGGTTCTCTACACAGCGCGGAACAATTTATGGTCCTTTTAAGTATTAATGCAAGAAAAGTAATTACTTCCATTGCACTATAACTTCGTTAATGAGATTACTTTTAGTCGCAGTGACTTTATCCGGGGCGGACATCTAGGCGTCATAAGTTCAAAAATCTTTTATCAGCCCGGACATCACAATTTACGGGGAGCGCGGTGTCAAAAAATCGTAAGATAGATCGTAAGCGGCGGCGTCGTAAATCGTTGTGAGAAATAAACGTACTTGAGCACCTTGCAGCATCGTCTCGCTGCGTTCGTAGAAGAACGCCTGTCTCATGGGGTTCGCCGAAAGATTTTCCTGCTCGGGCAGATTGAAGGTGGCATACGGATAAATGTCTTCCGAATACTCGGGTATTCGTTCCAGGGCGCTCACCTCACGGCAAGGTGACTGTTGTCCTGGTTTCCTCACGGTCGCATAGTACTGTTCCCTCTGTTCCATGTTGTGCTTGTTATCCAAGGCCGCTTGCGTTTGCGAGTTCGGGTCATTCGCGCCGCCGGATCCTTCTGGATCTGAAAACGGCATACTCGAGTTGGCAGACCACAGACTTATATATATATATATATATATGTATATAGATTGCGTCTTCTTATGCGTGAGATTGAAGGATAACTATATTCTCCTTTCATCAGCCTCAGGCATGCTATTCTCGTTGCACAGGAAAAATAGAGAAGATTTAAGAGCAGAAGTAACAAAGATAGTTGCCTGTGCACATGTTTCCTTTCTCTTTCTGGTCACACAGTCTTTTATAAAAATGCTCAGTCTATGTATGTAATATCCATTTTTACCAACGTAAATTAACTTTAGTCTCGGTTTAATTTACTCTTTACCTGTTTTTAATTTACAGAAAGAGATAAAAAGTAAATAATAAGTTAATGTAGGTTGTTAGATGAATAAATTCAATAAATAAGGAAAATTCAATTCGGTAAAAGCTAAAATAAAGCTTGGAATGTCTAATAATATTTTTATATGTAAATTCTAAAAGTAAATTCTAAATTTAATAAAAAAGGTAAATTAAACCGAGATTAAAGTTAATTTACATTACGGATATACATAAATCTATGTAACAGACATTTGACGATTATCAAAAACATGATACAGATTATATTAAATTACGTGATACTAATCTTTACAGAATTCTAATACTATAGTCAATTTAATACCGAAATATAACACAATAATTGTTTATTTTAAAATAACTTAATTGTTTATTAAAGAAACGGTTGTTCAGTTCCTTAAAAAGTTCAGTTATTTAAAAACTAAGTAAATTATTACTATCTTTCAGTATCAAATTGGCCAGCTATTAGATTTCTATAGTGTAGAAAAATAATTGTGATGTTCCTAGAATAAAATTCTCATTGTTAAGTAAATCTAATAACGTGAAAAAAATTCACTTCTGAAGTATTTAAGAAAGCATGAAAGTTACAAAACGCAGACACTGAACGCGCGTATGAGAAAGATATAAAATTCCATCGTTGTGTAAATTGAGCGCATTCTCTCGTGGATGTAAAAAAAAGTCGCTTATATAGACTGTTGCAGATGGTATCAAGAAACTGTGGTAACTCGAATAAGTATGAGCGAACGTATTTCTTGAATGATTTATGCAAAGAGAGATATTCTTGTTTCAGTAGACCATCGTCTATCTGGAGCAACGTCCCGGCTACGTGATTCGTTTATGAAGTTTTTAATTAAACCAAACGCTCGCGGCGAATATCGTGGACCGCTGTTGTTGACATTGTACCTGATATCGAGGGTAGTTGACGAAAAAATAAAACATCTAGACTGTCCCATCCCCCACCCCCCTTGTTCCAATTCACGGCGGAATCGTTACAATGTGTACCAAGTGGAATACGCGAAAATAAACGGCATTCGACAGATTTTTTTTTTTGCAACATGGAAAACTGCATCCCGTACAGTAGGAGTTTGCGTTCGCTCGCGCTCGGGGCGTACGCGTTTGCGACGTAAATTGATAGAGCGGACTTCGACAGGCTTGTACTCACGTGTCTTGAGGCAAAAGCACACTCCGGCAATCGCCAGCATGACAGCGAGAACAGAGATGACGCTAGGCGCTAAAACGTGTGCGTCGAGATACAGCGGAGTGTTCTCGCTCTCTTGCGGATGATCCTCGTGCAAACGGTTGTTTCCGTTCGGTGACAACGTACTGAACAAGTACTCAGCCTGGGTCGAACCAGCGTTGTTATAAGCCGTCACGCGAAGCTCATAGCTGGTGCCACTCTCCAAATCTACGATGGGGAATTTCGACTGCGGCGGCACGTTATTGGACACTGCAATACGTTGCCGATAAAATCTGATTAATTATCGACGTTCGAGTATATTGATAATATAATTGATGGATGCTTAAAACAATCACGAGCATTTTTCAAATATTTTCTAGGGAGATGTGTCAATATTTCTATATTGATATAAAATAATCAATGTTATTGTACGAATGATACTGCGCGCGATTGATAGTATTAATACGTGTATACATGATGAGAAATGAATGCTGTCAGCGTGAAACTTTCTAGATATCGATTTTAGAATTAATTCCGTGCGATCAACGTCACGCTCGCGACAATTATCGGTCCTCTCTTCTTCGTTTCGTGACTTCAACTTTCCGTAAGAGTTGCAGAGTTCTTACCGAGCAGCCAATCCCCGGGCAGTCTCCTATACTCCACGACAAAGTAGGTCAACGGGCAGCCGCCGTCCTGCCAGGCCGCCAATTCTAGAATAACGAACGTCTGATTCGGCCTAACGAAATGATGCTTCGGCGGCGGGACCGGCTTCGAGCCGTTGGTCTTCGCCGTCTGTATGTCACTCGCGCTGCCGCTCCCGATCCTGTTGAACGCTGCCAGGGTGAATTGATATCGCGTGCCACACTGCAAACCCTCGAGGAGATGCGTGCTCTCTCGTCGGTCTAGCATGACCTCCTCCCATTCGGCGAATTCCCGACGATAAGCTAAGAGAAATCCCTTAATAGGCGCGCCACCGTTGTCGCCCTGCTTCCATTGTAGCTGGATAGCATCGGTCGTCGTGCCGGTTGCCAACAGAGTCGGCGACGTCGGCGGCACTATGCATAAAGTTTACCAATTAGAACTTAGCTCGTGCGCCGCTCGAGAGTCGACGAAACACCATCCGACATTCGCTCTTCGAGCGAGAGATGCGTTTCTCTCGCTTTTGCTCTCTCGCGCATGAATAAGAATTCGTAGGAGTTATCCCGTAAGACTCGCTTTCGCATGCGAACTTGCATGCATAGTTTGAGCTTTAGCGCGAGTTTACCTTTAATCAAGATTACGTAATACGTTTTATCGAAATTATAATTTTAATATTTATTGATTTATAATACCTTTAAAGTTCAAACTATACATTTTTGTTAGGAAATTGATGATATATAACGCTTCCCTTAAACAGAGTCTACAATGAGATTTCGTGCGTAAAACTTAAGCTGCAAGCTTGAAGCTGTAAAAAGTTAACTAATCACAAGTCAAACGTGACGAAAATCGATCATGACTGGTAAATTTCTCTTACAGTTTAAGGTTTAAAGCTTAAGTTTTACGTCTTAAAATCTTATTGTGGACGCTTTAGAAAGATTCTAACGTAACTTTAAATCGAATTATTCTCGCGAGGTAAAGGCGCTACTTTCGCAGCGGATTAAAATTTCGTGCGTACAACGCACGCGTTTATCACGATTGAGAGTCTGACTAGCAGCGGTCTTAATGATTTCGCTTGCGCCGACCTACCCTGTATATGCAGCGTATACGTAATTTCGTCCGTGCCAAGCGAATTCTTCACGTGACACGAATAATTGTCTTCATGACTTCTCTGCACGTTTCTCAAAGTTAAGGTATTGTCGGGCCCAACATCGGATCTGTGGAAAACTCGTCCCGTGAAACATACATTTCGCCACCACGCTACGCGTTTCGGTCGCACTTACTTCTGTTGTAGTTTCATGTCGGCACGTCGCCACTCGACGCTTGGCCGAGGATCACCAACGACGAGGCAAGCCATATTAACGTCTACTCGCCACGGTACCACGATGGACACACCGTATGATACTATGGCAGCTGGAACTAATTAAGGGACCACCGTTACGAGCTTCCATTCGTGCTATTTGCGCTCTGTTATATCTCCTATCCGCAAATGTGGATAGTATCGAAAAGTCACAAGCACCGCGCTTACGTTCGTTATCGATCGTGGAGCATGCTCTACGTCAAAGAGCATTTTTCTTTATGGAATATGGACCATCGTACCTATGAAACTGTATTCTCCCCTCCTATAATATTCGATGCGCGTTTCAGTAGTTGTATATTGTTCTCGGAACTCAGCAAAAATGAAAAGTTATATCGATACGTTCGCGGAGAGCATCCAACACGACATAGAATTTTACGGTAAAAGCGAGGAATTTTTCAATATTCTCCAATCCCTCGAAGAGAAAGGGACTTACCGGTGGTGCTGGGTTGAAGCTTGATAACCGGTGTGCTGGAACCTTGACCAACCTTAGTCGACGCCGTCACCCACGCTTCGTAGGTCTCGTGCTGCTTCAATCCGGTTGCCTCGTGATGCAGATTCTGCGCGGGTAATATGTTTTTGGTGATCTTCACCTCCTGGCCCTGTTCCAACACGCGGACGTAGACGGTGTACTGAACGAGCAATCCGTTCGGCCGTCGCGGCGGCAACCAGGATATCACGACGGCGTTCTCACCGCTGATCACCGCTTTTACGCGTTCTGGTGCGTCGGGAACTGTCGGCAGAGTGCCATTCTTTGGTCGTCAATGACTTATTATACAAAGAAAAGCTTTAAAAGACAGTAAGAGTTGCTCCTGTAAGGACTTGCTCTCGAGTTTGTGCATTGAAAAAAAGTCAGGTAAGTAGGATAGTTGATCGGCGGTCGAAAGGTAAAAATGTGTCTTTAGGGTTCGATTATGGAAGAACTACGAGGGCGATTAGGAAAGTAATCGCCGTTGTTGCGTAGCGCGAGAAATAGTAGGGGGAGCGATCCCATTGCCTCCATTCTGTGACTCGGTACGCTTCCAGCTATGCAAGTGGGAGTATCGCACTGTCGCGCGTTCGTTTATACTATAACGTCACAAAATGAGTGCCGCAATAAAAAAATCCCGCCAAACGTGAGGTGCGTGGTATGATAAGATTTGTTTGGACAAAAAATCCTTTCAGTAGCAGGCATTCATCGTGAATTGTGTAAACATTATGAGTGAAGGTGTTGTGCGTCAGTGGATCCGATTTTTTAAAAGTGGAAGAAGACAAGAGAAGTGTACGAGATCACCACTGACTACAGAAGGCTTATCACTCCTCTGTTCATCATGTATGTTTGTTCTTCTACTTTTAAAATGTATGTATTTTACTTTATGAAAAATATAACATTTTAGCCTCATTATACATATATAGGTTCAAAATTGTCAAGAAAAATGGAGATAAGGTAGTAATATAGTTAGAATTAAAAATTCAAAAGAACATTGTTCTAAAAAGATACAATAAAACTCTTAAAGTAAAATAATTCATATTTTTTTGTTGCTGCTTGAATAGACAATACTTTTTTGTTTATTTATACATTCTTTTTGCCTTTATTAGTTTTCTAATTTTACTACGAGATATTTTAGAATAAAAAAATTGTATTATAGTCTAAAATGAAATAAATTTTAACAGTTGTAGGGTCGATTGTAACATTACATTTAACCCCGAACAATGATATTTTACAATGGATTTAAATTTTAACTTAATAATAAATTAATAAATTAACTAAATAATTTATAATTTATAATATATTAAAATAATCAAAACTTAAATTTATAAAGGAAAGACGAACATTTCATTGGAATTATTTTACAAAGTATTTAGTTATTATCAAACTCTCTTTTCAATGTGCATAATTGCAACTTGGATCCTAAAAGTATCTTCGATCAAAATTACGTAATACGTTTAATCAAAGTTATAATTATAAAATTTCTAAAATAGTATAGAGAGACCGAGCATCACGTAACATTTGCATTTATAGATATAAAATTGTATTTATAATATACAAGCATCTCACAGAAAATTGATTTGCCTAATCCAACTTTGTCTTGAACTCTTAAAATATAATAATTAATTCAGGAATTATTAAATATGCTATAAATATCCTCTTTTAAATAAACGCGTCGAAAACAAACTATAAATTGAATCTAAGTGCTATTTACCGGTTTCGCCGGTGGTGCAAGACACAGGAGTGCTCGTAACGCCGTCCCCGGCTCTGGTGTAGGCGAGTACCTGCACCGTATAGTTGGTATACGGGCTGAGAGAATGCAATACCGTGCTGAGAGCATGACTGACTTTCGTTTCCCTGCTGGTCTGCGAGTCCGAGGCGGCCTCATACAGCAGCTTGTACCCCAGCACGACCCCGTGAACTTTATCAGAAGGCGGTGGTTTCCAGGTCACCTGGATGTTCTGACCATTCAGTGCGGCGCAAGCTACATTCTGCGGTGGCGCACTTGGAACTATGTCAAATCGGTACCGTAAATCGCTGTAGTGTATTACTCCTTTGACGTGTCGAAAAATGTGGTTTCGAGTTTACGTTATTGGTTATCGCCCGCAGACTCACAGAACTCACAGTGATTCACAAAATTGGCCAAGTGTTTCTCGCGAAAATTACAAAAAATTGTTTACGAGATTATTATATCAAAAATGGTTTTTCTAATAATGTATAAAGTCGTTTAAATAAATTAATTAATAGAATTATTTACTTTATTTTAATTCTTGCTTCGCGGCATAGTTTATAAATAACAGATAATACAGTTTATTTAAGAATAATTAGGAAAGTTAGTTTTTATGTATTTATCTCGTTTTGTTAAAATTTTTGTATAGAAAAACAATTTGGCCAATTTTGTGGATAACTAAATATACATAAAACTTAATCAACCAAATTGCAAAGAAAATTATGAGAGAAAAGAACAGACTCGATTGCAAAAATTGTGATTTAGGCTAAGACAGAATTAAATTTGATACATTTGTTTATAAAGTAAAAATTTCGATCAAAATTATTATTGTCAATGTTGAATTTGGTAGCAATTTAGTTTGAGTGGCGTAAAAGCTCGTTCCATAACCCAATATCGTTGCGCAAATGATTGCCGTACCGTTGTTCAACGTTATACATTATATACAGTATTGAATGTTTGTGCATCAATATGGTATATGTGACAAACTTTAAATTATGGTATTAATTTGTGATATGAAACTTGATCTCATCATTTGCAATTCTCAATTACATTTAGCTCGTAATCAAAATGCAAAGAGACTACCTCAAAGCGGGACACCGTAATTGCTTTGTTTAACATATGCCAGATATTTTTATTAACACAAAATCTCCCGATAAACAAGGATTTTCCACTCACCGTCCTCGAATGTGTGAGCCGTCACGGGATCGGATCCTGGACCATCTCCTTTGCTATTGAACGCCTTTACTACTATGCTATATTGGGTATATTTTCGTAGACCCGTCAGTCTGTAATCGTGCGAGCCGTCCCCATTTCCTGTGATCCCTACTCGTGTCGTGTTCGTCAATTGATCATCTCCTCTGAAATAAAGCCGCGAAACCACGGTTCGTTGAAGCGAAAAGATAACGCGAGAAGCACGAAGGCGATCGACAGCGCTGAGATCTATGTGTCAACCGCGCAAATAGAAAGTGTGTCAAGAAGAAAAACCATTAAATTGGTTTGTAAATAATCGATTGAAGAAGTTTTATTTTTAAAACAGAGAAAAACAGAATCTCTCGTTCTTATAAGTTTTAAATTGTATAGAGACAAGTCTCTTGTTGCTAGGTGTTAGCTGAACGACTTCTAGTGACAAAGTTAACAGGGTAACAAACAGATAGAGTACGCATTAAAATATATAAACCATCTTTTCTTCTCTTATACATCCTATTGTTCGTAAGTTGGTGCTGTCTAAGAACGGGAAATCCTTGGCACGAAAGTCGCCAAAGTTTATCGGAAATTGTCCTTATCGTCCGCATTTATTACGTTCCGTCATCCGATTCAAATATAATAGAGGCAGTAACAATCTCGAAATTCAATGGAATATAACTATGGAGACTTGGACAAAAGATATTTTAAGAATTTACTTTCTGCGCGACCGGACTGTCAAAGTATGATCCAATTATTCTGGTATGAAATGTCACAGCGCAAATATTACCATGTCTAATTTTAAAATTTTTCATTGCGAATTATTTTAATCATGACAGTTTTGTCTTTCTCAAGACAAAATTAGAACCTTCTTTAAAATAAACGAAGTCAATTGGAACAATCTATGTTATAAATCGTGTTATCATTGTAATACTATAAAAATGTTATTTTAATAATAATAATAATAATGATAATGATAATATTAACTTTTGGCATCAAAAAATAACAAAAAATAATTTATATCCTTACAGATATCCGATACTGATAACTTAAGACTGAAAAGTAGCAATTAAATTTCTATAAACTCTTGTATATAACTTGATCTCATCATTTTACTACATAAATGCTCTATATATATATACTTTTAGCAATTATTAGAGACATTAATAAATAAACGGCCATAATATTCGAGTATACCGTAAATAAAGAATTGTACTATTATATATACATATATACAGTCATTGACAAAATTATTAGGCACCCTTGCTTTTTCTAAATTTTTCACAACTGAATGTACATAAGCTCTCTATTTGCGTGTTGTTTTCATGCTACTGACTTTGTGAGAAGGTCAAGCAACTGAGGCATATAAGTTTCTTAGAGAAATGATAATATGTACAAAACTGTTTAGTGTGCATTTCGACTTCGAATAATACGGACGTTATCAGTCTTGTTTCGAGCAATTGCTAGGCAATTCTTTATCTTATTATTGTTAACATATTATCCGAGATTTCAAAATATGCCTAAAACACGCGAGTTGAGTGAAGGAAAACGGGCTCAGATTATTGTGTTGCATTCCATAGGATTATCTCAAGTGCAAATAGCAAAAAAAATAAAATGCTCCCGTTGCGCAGTTCAAACTACAATAAAAAGATATAATGATACTAAACAGTTTAAATCCAGATCTGGAAGAGGAAGAAAACGAAAGACTACTGCCAGAGAAGATCGATATTTAAAGCAAAATGCTCTAAAAGATCGTCGGCAAACGGCAAAAGAATTAACTAGGTGCCTAATAATTTTGTCAATGGCTGTATATATAAATTATAAAATTGTTAAGATAAAAAAGAAATTTAAGCATTTATATACGTATATATTGTCCATGTGCTTAAATATCTTTTTTATTTTAACAATTTTATAATTTATAATTTTATTTAAAAAAAATACATCTAAAATTATCTATTTTTACCATCTCGCAAAAATGATACGTAAAGATTAACACAGCCAATCTTCTTTCTAAAACGTCTTCCTCAGTTTTTACCGTAAAATATTTCCTCATAAAATCAATATTACCGAAGATATAACGTGTCGCGCGCGGTTATTATAAATTTGCTGCTATATCCCTTCGTGCGAATAGAGAGATCATCGTAATCATTGTTGAGGACTTCGAGCTCGAAGTGATGGACGCTAAATGCCGCAAACTGCTGTAGTTCAAGAGCGGTAAGCAGATAACGATACCCGAGATTGGTGTAGCCGATGGTGTAGCCGAGTAGTTCGCCGTTCCACAGGGATCGATCCGGCGGTTGCCACGTGATCTTGAGCTGCTGCGGGCCCAGGGGCTCCACGGAGACGTGCCTGGGCGGTCCACCGGGCACTTCACCGTCCGTTTGCACCTGTTTCGAAAATTTCGAGACGCCCCCAAAGGCGTACGTGAAAAAAAAAAACAATCCGTTTGACGTTAACGCAACGTTAATGACTTCGTGATAATGTGAAAGTTTTTTTTTTCTTTCGATCATGCTTTGTGTGTGTTTCGTTTTTTTTTTCTATTCTTTGTCTTTCGACAATGTTTGATACTGACATGAAGGATGTCGCTTGGCGCTGATGTTCCAAGATGATTTTCCGCAAGCACTCGAAAGTGGTAGGTAGTCGCGGGTTTTAGGGGCGATACCCGAGCGACCGTGTTGTCTCCGGCTACCAGCTTCTGCGTGTTGTGCTCATGCCACACGTCTTTCCAGCAAAAGGCAATAACGCTTAGAAGAATACAGTACGATCTCTTGAGCGTAATCGCGAGACGAGTCTCGCGAGGCGAGCTTGTACTCCTCCGCGAAAATTCTCCGTACATTCCGACGGCGTGATTAACTTGTACAACGTTCTGGTCGATAAACCTATTTCGTTTCTCCGCGGCGTGAGTTTGTAGTTTAACAGTTGCCCGCAAAGACGGATCGTATGTGATGAGTGAACGGATCGATCAAGCGAATGACATTTTAATGGAGGATGAGAGCCGTACAAACTCGTGCAAAGGTAACTGGCAATAAATATCAGACAGTCGGGTATATGCCGACATTCAGTTGGAAATTAATTCGAAGCTATTACTCGCGCAACGAAAGCGCGAGAGATCTCAGAGATGTAGATTATCTCTGCTTTTAATCTGTAATTTAGAGATGCGCGCAACTTTAGAGATCTAATACGCGGACGTTCGAATAATTTATTCGCAATACTAAGATAATACATATATTTTGCGGAATATATATTATATGAAAGGACATCGAGGGCGAGTATTTATCATCGTTTGGCCGGTATCCTCGGAAATCTCGATCCTCGCGAGACTCGATTTTGGTAAGAGCGATAATAATTCTCGACGGTGCTTGCCTCAAGAACATGTTTTATGCGCGTTAACACCACGACGCTTCCATGCCCCTTCGTGCGTTAAGTTCGATAATTTAACACCCGGCGGGGAGACTCGAGTCGATTAGGCGTAAATGAGGACATCCAAAGTTAACGAGCGGCCAGGGCAAGGGGCGTTTCAAAGAGAAGTTTGTGGCATGAAAATAGGGCGAGTGAGTGGGGAGGTGGTGGCCCCCGGTAGTCGAGGGAGAGGTTTGTAAAACAAAGACGCGGAGAAGGAAGATTCGCAAACGACTTTACAGAAAACTTTGTCTTAGCTGTCGTAACGAAAACCGCCAACGTCGGAAATGCTGGCTATGTATATACGCTTCAGAAAATAAAGCGCGCTTCTTCTATATTTATCTTCATAAAAGATGCTTCGACAACGCACGATCATACGACTTTAGTAATTTGATAGTTCTAATTTGCAAATTTGGAAACAAAGACGCTATTGAAAAAGAGAAATGTGTAGAATGCACGAAATATTTTCAAGTTTAAATAATATCGCTTATTTGCTACACATACCCGATAATAATACAACTCAAATTATTACCATTATTACCATTTTGTTTACAGAAAAAGAATAGAAACATAAAGAAAAAAGAGAGAACGTACTTTTAACACAACGTATTGTTCGATTCCTTCATAATAAGTAATCACACCAACATTACATTACAAAATTAATATTACGAAATTTTAACAATTCAAAACATTCAAATTCATTTTCTGATAAACTTCGTTTTTGGAATCATTTCATTTTGAATCATCCAATTATGTTTGATCATTAGCAAATTGACGATCAAATTAATTGTAATGTTATTACAATGCATCAGCTTCATTTTATGATTGCATTTCAAATTCAGCAGTAAGTGATATATACCTTTGTATAATTGAATTTAGATTATTGTATACGTTTTTTAAATTGTATCATTATTGTAGCAATTGAATGATATAAAAATCAAGACATTTTCACACGGAAGAAAAATCGAAATATCTTCTGTAAAACGCTAGCAAGTTTGGCCGCGATAGAAACGGAATGTTTAACGGCGTACGATCCTTTTCCAAACGAATTGATCAATGAGAAACGTAAATCGCATTCCCTTGAACGCAAACACATGAAAGAGAATGTCAAAGAACGGAACTGCTCTTGCGGCCATACGTATTACATGGGTGTACGAATCGCGAACGCTATTCGCGGCGCTATTATATAGAATCAACTCAACGTGAGTTTACAAGGGACACAGCGATGTAATTACCATTGCTCTTGACAGCCGCAACTCATGCGACAGACTGCACGTTACGTTGCACGCGTGCATCTTGGAGCGACGTTACAAAACAGCACATTACGAGGGAAAATATCCAGTTTGTATTTGCTAGAGTTTATACTCCGTAGAACACGAAACGTTTAGATAAAATTCTAAATTATCTAATAATAAACGCTAAGCGAAAAACGTTAAATATTCTTCATTAAACAACCGAATACATTATTATGCGCTAATACAATATGTATAATTCTGTGTTAATACTTGATTAGTATTTATTATTCCTGTATCGCAAACAAGATGTTTTTAAACGTATACACATACAAGATTAAATGCAATCCGTGATACTGAAATGGGAATAATATTTACATACACGTCAATTTATTTTATATTTTTCAAATTAATCAATTTCTAAATATATAATATATAACGCGATTCCATCGAGGAAGCACGTCGTACTCACCCTATGTATAACTTTATACATGAAAAATCATTTTCCGCGTTCGCTTTATTCTAAAATTGCTGCTTTGAGTGAGTCGGAAATTAGACAGTACTTTGTCATAGACATATTCACTGGGTAGATACACATTCCGCGATTGAGTTATTACTTATTAATGAAATACACATTATGTTACTCATATTAATGGAATTTCGAGCGTTTCGAACGTGGCGTTTGTTTAAATATCGGCTGACGGGCGGGCTCTCGCCGATAGAACGGGAGAAAACGGGCGGGGTCGGGTGAAAGCCATGAAATAAATCCAAAATAAATGTAGCGCCTAAAATCCTGAACGAATATAGCGGGAGACGTGGAGAAACGTGAAGGGATAAATGATTAATGATTCCCCCGCGATGGCAAAGGCCACAGCGTTGTTCTCGAATACGAATGAAATACTTTCGCCGAAGACATCGTAGTGTTAACTTTAACGTTACGATATGATATTCCGCGCCGAATGATAGAAATGCCAAGTGCACTGTGAAACACGCGCGTATACATATAATGACGATGGATAGAGAATGTAATGGGGCGCAATAAACCGTACACTGTACATCGATATTTCTTCCTCTTTTTTTCTCTCTCTCTTCGAACTATCGGTCGAGCAAGCGCAAAAAAAATGTGGTGTTATTTTCACCAATATGCATTGCTTTAACGCGATATTTACATCAGCCATTGGGATTAATCGCGTATGCCAACAGTAAATAGGAAATTAAACAAACGTTTTTAATCTCTTCTATATTTACGCGTATCAATGCATTAACTATTGATCGGGCAACTGAATCAAAACGTGCAAATTAAAATTTTTTTTACTGTTAAAATTTGTAAAGCGCAGAAGGTATAATCTCGATTTCGGCGCATTCACCGCCACATCATTTGGACGCGGATGTTTTCTTGAGAATTGCACGAGTTTTGCATAAAGCAATTTTATTTTTCGCTTGATTCACATTTATATTCACTGTTTGTAAATTATAATGTGAATTAAGCATAAGTAAAAAATATTATCTGCACGCAAACGTGCGTTATAACTCCAAAAGAAATACGATATTACTCAGTTTCTGCAAAGTAACGTTCTCGTAACTACCGCAAGTTCGAGAAAATCTACATTAAAATTTTTATATCCATTTGAAACTTTAAGACTTTGAGGTACCTCCCATTATTCTAATCATAGTCATGCATGACTATTTATTTAAAACTGTATCATACAATTGTGAAGTATCTATTAATTTTATCATAATTTTAATCACATGAATATTTATATTAAAACTATCGATCTATATATATTTTTTCAAATTTCAATTTAAATTATTTCTGTAATCTTTAATTATCTATATATGTTCTTTAATTACTCAATTATAAATAATATTCTAAAATAGTAAAATGAAATGTCGACTTAAAAATTATATTTAATTTATAGAAACTATTTTACTTAATTATTCCATTTAATTTAGAAACAATTTATTTTATTTAATTTAGAAACAATTCACATTTTATATTTAATTTAGAAACAATTCTACTGTAACAATAAACGTGATTTATACATGATGTGGTAGTCAATGTGCCGTTGGTATCGTCAGTCAGGAATGTAACGATCTATAACGAGATGCTCTCGGCTTTCGATCGATAGTGACCGAGGTTCGCGCGCAGACACCGAAAAAGGCAAACGAAAGGAGAAATAGTCTGTACCTTGCGCCTCCTTGTACTGTACGATGTAGTTGGTGATGGGTGAGCTGATGTGGCTCGCGTCCCGATCGGTCGCCGGCGAGGACCAGGCCAGCAGGATCGACCGGCTGCCCTGCTCGGCCACGTGCAGATTGCGTGGGAAATCGGGCGGTTCCTGCACGAGCAAGTGGATCGTCGTCTTGTCGCGACCATACGCATTCGCGGCGACGCAGACGTAGTCACCGCGGTCCATGTGGCTTGCCTGGATGATCCGCAGCTCGGTGGTGACGCGTCCCGACGCGTCCGCCGTATTGTCTACCGCGTACCTAAACCCAACCAACAGCAAGACGGTTACATAATTAATCGATATGCACGGCGATCTCGAGAGATGAGAGACTCGAGTTCGAAATTTCTAAGAATTACGTCAAGTTATATTTAAGGTGGATTAATTATGAAGAAAGATAATCTGTCGATTACTTTGTCGTAACGAATTTCATCAAATATTGGACAGCGGAACTTGGTCAAGGATATTGCTTTTAATAGATGAAATTAATTTTTGCAAAATCTACGGATGTTATTTCATTATAATAACAAATTAATTCTTATTCTGCCATCAAAATTGCGATGCTACACCAGCAAACTGCATTTTCCCAGGGATAGACTACTTTGCTTTAGTAGTAAATTAACGAGTCCACGAACCCTTTTACGAACAAATTTGCTTGGTACAATTTCCTCGTTATTAACGAAACAGGTTTTGAGGTAATATCAAATAATTGGTTATAGTAGCAAAGTTTGGTCATTTTCACATCGAATAATACAGTAGCGGCGATGGTTTACTGCGGCAATAAAAATCTTTCACTCTATATGTACGTATAATGGTTTAAAAATGGAATTTGTATGTTCCGTTATGTAAAATACATTAGGTACTTAAAATAGTCTAACAATTACAGATAGATACTTGTAACATGTGAAAAGCTGAAATAATTTGTAAAATCCCACTTTAAATACAGAATATGTGTTTGTTATATTTACAATAAACTGCAGCCGCTTGATGTAACGTGTATAGTTTCAATATATATTATCTGTTTTAATGTATAAAATAGAATTCTAAATACGTACAATTGTTAAATATGGATTTTGTGCCTGAAGAGAATCCTACGAATAGCAAATTCAGTTTGTTTTTGCTTTGAATGTTTCGTGAATTTAATGAACGATGATAAGGTAGCGTCAGAATGGTACTTCCGTCAAATGGTATGCACATTTCAAACCTGTGAGCTTCCACGCGAAAGACGCATAATTAATTCCAATACGAACCTAACGTCGTAATTAGGATCGATCTTGCTGTCACGAACACGCCAACTAAGATCAAGAGGCGCGTCTCCCTCGGCCTCGCAGCGCAATATTACGCTCTCCCCTCGTCGCACTGATTCCTGCCTCGTCCTTACTGTCACCTGGGGGCCCGCTGCAGTAAGAATTTTTCATTAAAAAAATTTCGCACGGCACTTGCGGCACGCACAATGAACGTCAAACACAAGACAAGACAATAAAACCAATTTGCGTTATAACTCACAGATGTACCTTTTTGTAATTATAAACGAGCGATTCAATTTTGTTTGCCGTTGAAATCGCACGGCCAATCTACGATACTTTGTTGAATGTTCATTTATTTCGTAGCCAGAGAAAAAAAGATCAATTATCGACGCATGATGCTATTCCAAATAAGCGCGTGTGCTTGTGCATACTATGTGTGTAACCTCTCTCACAGAGAGGATTTCATGCAGTGATGCGAAGCAATTATCCAGTGACGAATATTGTAGTAATGCTATTGAATTTCCGACAGACATGTCCGCGTGTGTGTGTGTGTGGGCGAATTGAAATTAACAAATTTATTAAATTCATGACTGTTGCATTACATATCGCCGCCTACGTATGAATATCATATAATAACAAATTAAATTCCTGCTGCTCTCTCCATTAAACCTCCAAAGATAATTTTAGAGAGAAAGAGAAAGAGAGAGAAAGAGAGAGAGAGAGAGAGAGAGAGAGAGAGAGAGAGAGAATTTTTTACATCATCTGCAGATAATATGCTGCAATACGAAAAATTTTACGATGGACACTTTTTCGCCTAATGTTCTCGGTGGTAAAGAACTAGCCAGTTCCGATTACCCCGCATGATCCAGTGCGACTCTAACCGAATCTCGAATACCATCCTGGATCTAGAATCCAGACGGCGACGGTAACTCCAGGTTTCGTGAATATTTTACCATGAACCGTTAGCCGAATGAGCTTGCTGAGGCCGGGCCCGATGCCGTTGCTCGCCTGGCATAGATAGAATCCGGCGTGATCCCGCGATACCCGCGGGATCACCAGAGATCCGTTTCTGGCCATCCCGGCGCCCTCCGTGCCGTATCCCAGCTCTCTGTAGTCACCCGGAGTTTCACCTAAATGTGCAAGGATATATCTTTACGTCTCTGCATAATAGACATGTTCGCGGAAAATTACTACCCCACGTTTTACAAAGTAAAGACTTCTTGTAAAGCCGATAGAGCTTGTAAAATTACCATTCCACATATAATTGCGTAAGCGTAATTATAAGTGATTGTAAGAATCGATCAATCACAGTCCAATATGAAAATATTTGACTGTGATTCGTCAATTCTTTACAACTACGATCACTTACAACTGGACAAAATACATCTTAAAGTATTTGAAATACAAAATACTAAGTACTGACGATCTCAGCGTGTTTGAATTTCAAAATATAAAATACTTTCAATCTTTCGATTTAAAATACATAATCTTTTATCTTTCAAATTAGAAGATTGAAAATATTTTATATTTCGTATTTCAAATATTTTAAGATGTATTTTTTCCAGCCCAGTTTATAACTACGCACAATTTTAGAATATATAGAAATAGGTTTTAAAAAATCATGAAAACTGAGAAGAGCATAAATTAAAATTTGTTGGTATTTTATTTTCCAGCTTTAATTGGACGGTGCCATCCGTCTGCCATGATGATAAACGTTTTTATTTCGAGTTGACACTACTGATATATTTGTTTTCTGGGACTTCCCTCTCTATTCTTTCCATTTTATTCTATCTGTTCCTACCGTATTAAAAATAAAGTACATTGTGAAGTTTATATTTACCGTTTTATTTATGAAATTCTCATTTCTCACGCATCCTTAAGTATTATACCATACAACAAAACTCGCAGTACGATATACGTTTCCATTTTATCGACATTCTAGACTCATCAGAAACTAAAGTAAGAAATAAAAGAATCTATTATTTCAGGAGGAAGAATCTTCGTAAAGCGCGATAGATAACAAAATCTTATTCTTCGCGTAATTTCAGGTAAACTTTACTTTAACAGCGTTTTGATTTGGAGGTATACTCACAACTGCTAGAATATTTAATTTTAAAACTTCATAAACTGTGAAAAAATAACATTAAGTTTTATCGGAGGAAAAATTATTTCTCATCTCGCAGCATGAAGTATCACCTTGTTTACGCCCTATTACAAAACGTCCTGTTGTATACCAATTTAAATGTCAAGAAATAACGCGGGAAGAGTTTCTTAAGCGCGCGAGTTGCTCTATAAACACATTTCTGAATACACGAATGTCTAAATGATTTTAAAACATAACGCGTCGGAGGCTAAATAACAAGTACACGAAGCGTATGCTTGGGAATCCCTTTCCCTTCGTAGATCTTATTCGTTTATTCTATCTTTTCATAAATAAACGGACGGAACGGGCGGAAGATGTATCAAAGTATATACCACCCACATAACTTCAAACGGTAAAGATTTACTTCGCGAGAACTCCTCCCGTGCAAGGTAAACCGAACATTTTGAAAGCGCCGCTTTTGAGTAATCAGTCTTTTCGCAGGAGCCTTCCCGAGAAATTATGTCTCGAAACTCTTACGGCAGTCTCGTCGTCGGCATTCCCAACCGATGCAAATTGTGTTTGTGCACTCGACCTAGTGGCAGGTAGTTACAATATTACATAAGGTTTAATAAAACCACGACGCTCGCCGTTCTACGCTGTTCGCATCTAATATGAATCGTGACAGGACGTGGAACGTCTTTTCCCCGACGCGGCGCTTCTTTTTTCACGTTCGATGCTGCTGTCTGCATGGCGTGCATCGCTCGACGGCGGATCGATGCTTCCCCCGACATCCTTCCCGAGATACATATAGTGAATGATGAAAAACATAAATATCCACGCTGGATATCCGTTTGTTTTTTTTTTTTGCAACAACTTTGAGATACGTATTCGGACGATGAGGAGAACTTTTACGGATTAATATTTGAGTAACGAGAACGCTTAATATGTATCAGAATATAACATGCGGTAGAGAAACGTTTACGTACGTATAATACGATTACCCAACTAACTCACTGAAAGCATTTTACGGACAAATGTCTACTTGTTTTCCAGCCGTGGTTAATTAAAACTAATAAAAATATTCTAGAATTTGATAACAATCTCCTCACTGCAACATAACTGCATCATGCCAAGACACAAAGCGCGTTCTTTTTTGTTTTTTCAAACTGATGTCGGCGCAGGAACGATTGGCTCGCGTGAATACAATCAGACTGCGAATAGCGAAGGCGAGCGATCCGCATCAAGGCGAGGTTGAAATTTAGAAAGAAAAATAGAATGGAAGAAAAGTCTCTCGCGAAAGCACGCCATATCAAATCCACACTCAGCGAATTGACGAAATTAATTATACGGTTCTATATCCATAAAACTTTTATCTATAGGTAGGACTTATTTCTGACTACGGACTGGATATCCATCCGTGGAGACGACCGACGATTCAGCGAAATTCGTGATTGATTACTGTTTCCAGAGCGTCTTTTTTTTCCCCGTCGACGCTCCGTCGGTCGTAACTTAAATGAAAATTACGTAATGCTCGCGCAAACAAAGTTCTCGCTTAATCGACAGGAGATTATTAGAAAATGTAATAATACCAGCGTCATATCTCACTTTAAAGTTAATTCTGTAATAAATAATCGATGTCAATATGAATTTTTGATAAATGCATTTTCGAATATGTTAAAAATGATTTGTGATGTAAATATTTCATTTATATTTGTGGATTATTTATAAAGAGATAAAACGTCATAAGATTAGCTGTTCCAGTTTCTATTATAAAAAATATAGAACCTGCGCTTCTATTAAGAATATCCGTTTTACACTTAAGAGAGATCAGGTGCGAATGAGCGTTCTCATTTCTCGCGCGACGTCGGAGACGTAATACATCTCTCGTAACGCTGCTGGGAACGGAGGAAGGAGAGTTATCTCCGAGATCCCACCTTTAAGGAGTCGTGACTTACCGATAGATTGCTTCCAAGTCACAGTCGGAATGGGGAATCCTTCGGCCTGACAGGCGATGGAGACGCCGTGACCTACAACCGCGTTCTGGTCGATAGGTTCCACGGTCCACCTCGGAGGTACTAAAAATACGAACCAATTGGCTTAGTATCTTCCAGTCGTTCGAATTCGTATCCGCCAGAGTCTTACACGATGCCCCCTCGTTTCCGTCACCGTTCATCTCGTTTCTCAGGAACTCGCGATGACGCCGTAAAATTTAAAACACGGCCATTAAATCGATAATGACCGTCGAGGACATTTGCGCGACACATCAGCGTATACGCGACTATTACAAAGATCCTACATTTCTATAATTAAACAATGATAATGGCTAAAAACAAGGACAACGTACCATCAATGCGTAATCATTTTGCTATATTGCAAATTTATTACAAATTCCTTTTGATTTAATTTGCAGAATATTGAGAGTAATACGCAATTTATCCCGCGTTATCCCGTTATTTCCTAAAGATAATATCATGTAAAACCGTCAAACGGTATCGATTTTCATTTCATAGCCCCGCCACGATTTTATCTTTTATCAATTCGGTCTAAAAATATATATGATATGACAGGTTATTTATTTGAACAGTCATTCCCTATATATATTCAACATTGGATCGATACTTTACTGCGTCCAATGTGAACGGTGACGAATACCAATGGCAATGACTAAATTAATGTTTTCCTAATGTGTTAATAATCGTGTAATGCATGCATCTCTTTCTTTCAACTAGATTATATACTTACACAATTTGCTGAAAATTGTAACAGTGTTATACTACAGAATCCATTAAGGCTACGACTAAATTACTTGAATTGACGATGTCATGTATATAACTCTATATGTTATGTATAAAAATAAACGAGAATGGATTTTTCCGTAATTATCTACTTTGAATTTTATAAGGAATTCAAGCAATATAAAACATATGTGAATAAAAAAACAAAATTTAGGATATTTAAGAAAATAATATAAAGTAAAAAACATGCATTTTTCAATAATAATGATAATAATAATAGAGAAAGAGAGAGAGAGAGAGAGAGAGAGAGAGAAAAAGAGAGAAATTATTACTAAATCTATACAAAAAAAGATTCTCTGATGAAATAACCTACATAAATTATAGAATACACGATGAAAAGGGGAAATATAAGTAGGAATAAAGGTATCTGAATAAAAGAAAAACTGTCCGTCTAGAATACATGAGAGTGGTTAGTATAAATTGAAGTATATAAATATATGTCAAGAAAATATAATACACATAATATAGTACGAGTATATGGAACGTAATATCATGCAAAAAATGCAAAGTTGATCATTATCATAAGGAACGTAACAACGCAAGCACCATTCCAAGTAAACAGAGCCGTAAGACGGATGTAATATAAAATGCTTCCAGACAACGACAAACGCAAACGATACCGTGGCAATGTACCGTAATGATATCGAAAATAGAAAGACACGTAGTAAGGAGGAATATCACTTTTACATTCTTCCATCGTCATTCCAAGTCGTTCTCGCAGAATAGGGGAGAAGGGGGAGTTTGTAACGAGAAATAGGTTAACTACGCGAATGCATGCTTATGCACACCCGTATCATAGACAATTGTTGCATTACATTAGCACAACGTCTCGAATATCAACTCGCTACGATACTCTACCTAGTACATTCGCGGAAACGTCCTTTAAAAAAAATCTGAACACACGTGAATAATACTTCTACGCTCAAGACTGAAATATCTCAATTTCGAGATCTACATCGATTTCAGCTTGCGATGCTGCTTGCGGAAAACGTACGAAATATAGGGAATGATATATCAAGAGTCAATACATTTTATATTGGGCCTTACCGGCATACCGGATCAACGGACACTGGAATAGGTCGTGTGTGCTACTGTTGAATTACTTTGCATATCGAAAGATATCACTCTCGTTAAAATTCGCAAATAGAACCGTTCCTGTTCTAATAACGATCTCGTGAAAATCTAATTAATCTCTCGCTGACGAGCATGCAAACAAGTAAAGTCGGCGATACATCTGTCGTCTACGCGATTCGACTGTCGAAGCATTCCTTGCCCGTGTGATCCTCGATTTCCAACGGCAAATGAAAATTCTATCGAGCTATCCTCGAAGATAATCGAAAGAAATCGGGATATGGCGGCATCGTGCCAGGTATTATTACTTTCGTTAGCACGCGCGATTACGATTTCAGAATTATCAACTTTCCTTTCTGTGGATTTTGTTGCCACCTTTCACACACAATCTCACCTTTGTACACTTAAAAAGAACAATTTAACAATTATTAATTAATGAGGACAATTAATGGGTATTTTCGCCAAATTGTTTCCTTCGAACTAGATTTTACTAGATGTATCAAACGTGGAAACAAAACACGTGACTAGTACAACCAGACATACGTAGTACATATCCCGTGAGTAGTAACGAACATACGTACTTCGTATGGCCGCATGCAAGTAGAACAACCAGACATACGTAGTACATCAGCGCGTAAGTATTAACATACTTGGTGTGGTATGGCAACGTGCAAATAATATGACCCCCGTAGACATATACATATAATATGCCAGCACGTAAGTAATAACAGAAATACAAGGTAGAAACATTTTCTATTTGTATTAAAATCGGAAGTTCTTGTTAAAATAATGTGATTATGTTATCTGAATATTGCATTGATTAAATTGATATTTAATATTTCTTTTAATGTCAAAATAACACAATATAAGTAAAAGAACCAATATTATAAAAGTAAAATTATATAAAAATACTGTATTTTGAAATGGAAATTCTAATATAAATAAATAAATGAAAAAAATAATATTAATTAATGTCATAAATATTAATTTTATTGAAAAATATGCTTTCACAGTTTGTTTACAAATTGTGTCAATGTTATGCTTTTTGTGTCATATTTTTTTTTCAAATATTTGTGTTACTTTCTGACATTCGATTTTGTGTTAAATTAACACAAAGACTCGAACAAAGAACGTTTTTGAAACACATGATCAAATGTAAATTTTTAACTGTACACTTTTAAGACGACCGAATACAAGTATAGTATGACAAGTATAGTAGCACAGAACATTTCAATCGAATAGAAAGAATAGAATCAGAGATACAAGTATTACATATATCCGGGCATAAATTGTGTAGGATATATCATATAACCCGACCAAATCGAAATAATACGAAAAATACCAGTGCATGTAAGATCGCGCTGAAACGGATATACATACATACTCGTATGTGCGAAGATATACATACGTATGTGCTGATCGTAAGCCGTAGCGGCAAAGGTATTACAGTACCATGAAACTGAAAAGTGCAGTATACTGCACGTGGTACTTCGCTGCACGATGAACACAAAGTGAACTCGAAAGGACGCAGAACGTAGAACGTACGTTCCATTTGGCAAATATTACGAAAGTCTGGTGTGTACTCTACAATATGACTGCAGTACTCTCAAAGAACATATAAGCATAATAGACCGAAAAATTCAATTGTAAAAGATTCGCATCGATACCGGCAGGATGTTTAAAACTTTATCCGTTATATTTGTTGCTTTATATTACTTTACCTCGATATTTGTTAAAAGTTCACAATTGCGACGTCAAATTAAACCATTGACTTTAATCTTTTTTATTATTTTATGGAATAGCCAATTACTGTTGTTACTTACTCCTTTGATGTTTATTCTTGAAAAACTGTAGTACATTCGTCCTCCAATTTGTCACGCGCGTATAACTTCTGTCGAGGTTAAGGGATCGTATTTCGCTTTGGGGAAATTCCTTTGCCGCGCGACATTCGCTGGAAAATCTTTAATGGCTTTCAGATGTCGAAAACCTAGCGATCTTGTCGTATTTTATACGCATTAGGAACAGGCGCCATTACGTGCCGTAATATGTGGAGCCGTATAACATACGAAATATACGAATCTTTTGATATCCTATAGAATTTAAATCGAAATGGATAGAAATGAATAAAGTATTGTTCTCTAGCAACCGTTAAGAACTAAATCCGGCGAAACCCATTAACATATATATCCATAAATTAATCCTCCGAGCTATTCCGGATATCGCATTGCGATCGACGATCGCATAATCGACTGACTATCTTGGCTTTATAAATAAGTCAGATGATTAAGTTTAATAGATTTAAATAAAACTGTTTTTTTTCTCACGTATATTAAACATTTTCTTTCTCAAATATACGAGCAAAAATAATTCCAACAAAATGATATTCTTTTATGTCGCTCATAATTAACACTATATATTGTAAGTATGAAATGTGAATCGTTGCTTGAAATATCCTGTTGAAATAGTTATCCTGTTTCAAAATATCTGTATATCTGAACCAGGTATATCGAATTATATCCCTGATCGTACCTATCTAGATTTTTAAACATTTTTATAAAAGTTCAGTTTCAAAATAAATCGATCCTTATACACTTTAAGTTTTTACACACAATTTCAAATAACTTCAGACTCTTATAAATATTTCATTATTGATAAAACTTTACTTTTTATACTGACAAAAGTGAAATAAACTTTTAAGATTCATCCAACTTACGCTATTAAAGAAGAATTTTTTTTCAGAGAGACGAAGAATGGTGTTTTAAATTGACGGAATCAGATACTAACGTATAAGATTACGATCTGGCGAATAGGGACTCGTATCGCAGTCCCTTCTCAAGGGATGTCATCAACGGCTTGGAAAAGTTGTCCAAGTAACCCGGAACACAGGAGCGGATTAAATAAAAAAACGAAAAAACCGAACCTTGCTCGACGTTTCTTCGAATTCTGCGCTGTTATACGAACTGTATACCTGACTTGTATATACACGAGTATATGCGTATACATACGTATATACACATCTATATACAAGAAAAGTGGGACAAAGGTGCGAGAAAAAGAAAGGAGAGAGAGAGAGAGAGAGAGAGAGAGAGAGAGAGAGAGAGAGAGAGAGAGAAAAGATAGATAGATTGATAGATATATTAGGTAGGTAGATAGATTGAGAGATAAATAAACAGAGAAATAGAGAGAAAGATGGGGAGATAGCGAAAAAGGAAGGTTCTTATTCGTGGACGCTTTATGTACACAGTTTTCTTACGACTACGTCAGTTTTTTTTCAGGACACCAACCAGCGACTGAGAGGCTGGTCGAGTGCTCGGCCAGGCCAGCGACGTTGCTGATCTGACACGTGTAGTTGCCGCTGTGACTAGCGCTGACGCTATTTATCGTCAGGATGCTGGAAAACGGCGGATAGTCGCTTATCTGTATGCCGTTGCTGGTCTCGACGGTAGCAGCGGCGGCGGCGACGGCAGCGGCGGCGGCGGCGGTCTGGACCGACGACACCGATGTACCACCGTCGCTCGATCTGACCTGAATTGGTTTCTCGTCCATCAACCACGTGATGTTGAACGGCTGGTCACCCTGGCTCGTCGTACACATAAGCTGTGTCCGCTGCCCCTCCATCACACCGTCTCCGAAAAAAAATGGCGAGATCCGCGGCGGAACTATAAACGTTACGTTGTGACATGATAATGGAGAGTATGCACCTCTGGTCTTGCGCTGGCGTTTTACCGCGCCTTATAGGTGCGCGTCGACGATTTTGCATCTTTCGGACCGCGTCTTGGGCGATTTGCAAAAAAGATCGTCGGGGATATATCACGCATATAATGCATGCAACGTTACCATATAATAAGTGTAAGTCATCCTCCCTTATTTTTGGTTGGCTAAATAATATTTTACCTGTTAACGCGTCGCAGCACAATTCGATTAGATGAGATTTCGTCGTTGAAATAACGGGGGCAAAATCATGTGGCTTATGTGCAGTATATACCTTACGCATCGTCGCGTTGGTTTATTCTTCCAGTTCGATAACACGATGACCCGCAAGGACGCGCGTAGGAGTAATCCCCGACAGTAACATCGCGGAAACTCGATAAACTCGCCCTCCATTTATTCCGATCCCATTCCGCCGCGTGATTTCCTCCCCCCCGGCACGGGAAGGACAGGTGCAACGCGACGGTTCCTCGCACCGCATGCGTGGGGCAGGTCCGCGGAAAATTGTGGCATGGCCATAAATATCGGGGTGGCGTTACGTACGTACGTAACGCGCCCGCCGAGAGTATAACGCGGGCGTACCGATGTAGCTTGGGAAATGAACATTTACGAGCGAGCATAACTGTTAATGTCGGCCGATGTGTCTTTATGAGGAGACTGCGAAGTTAGAAATAAGCCCGCACCTCCTTTCTCATACAATCCCCCGCCGAGCGGGGGGAGGGAGGAGGGGGAGGAACACATTAATAAATTTGTTTCGCGCGAATGTCGCGGTGCGTGGAAACTTGGCGACCGAGAGGCACCTGCCGCTTCTCCATTTTCGAAAACAGAAGCTTTTCCCACGCGAGTGCACGTTGCGAGTTGCCTCGAACCGCGATATCCTGGCCTGGCGAGATGCGCCATAACGACCGCTCATCCGGCATGAGACTTGCACCTGCACACGTTTTCTCCTTCGAAGATGTTACTCTTCTTTCTCGCTTACGTATCGCAGACTTACTTACCGAGAGCCCTACCAATAGACGAAATTTCAAATATGGAATAAGATACAAGGACCACGACAGATCTCTGGGTATACCGTGAAATGATACAATTCGTTCGTGATTCGATTTCAGGAAAAGCACATTTCTCTTTTTTTTTTTCTCTTCCCACGGAAACTCATGCATGCAGAAGAATTACATATGTCAAAAATGTCTCAGAGATCTCTCGCGTCGAATGCCCCTTGGATACAAATATCACTACAGTCTCCATAATAATATCAATATAGTGATGGTGAAAACGACGTTACACAAAGTATATATATGATATACCTCGAGCTTATAAACACATTATCATAAAACTCTTTGCTACATTAATAAAATGATGACTTCGTCATTAAGACGCTCAAAACGTGATACCATACAACACAATAATGAGTAACAGAGTGTATAATGAGTCATTCGTAAAAAAAGGAACGAAACGCATAATAAAATACGTTTCCTACGGGATATCGCAGAAATGTCGTTAACAGCGATTTCCGTGTGTGTATGCGTGTGAAATACTAGCAGAAATGGACAAATGTAATATATTCAGTCAAAACATTACTCGTGTCTCTTGAATACCAATGCTGGACGATGCATACACCTGTGCGAATAGGAAAACCAGTACGAGAACTTTTATATACGGTCTCGCTGTGACATCGAGAGATTTCGACTTCGTTGAAGAAAAATCTCACTTCTCATATCCACTTTTGCGTGCAAGAGAGAGATTCCTCCACATTCTCTTACAACCTCTCGATGTCACAGTCGGTGTCTAATTGTAAGTAGATACCATAATAAATAGGAATATACAAGCAACCAAACGTCAAAAATGCCCAAGTTTTCAAATGTGTTTACGTCATTCTCATTCGTTTTCCCGTTGAAATTTAATACTGGAATTAAGGTGATTATCCCTGATCGGTATTCACACTAAAACTTTTTTAACTATTCGCGAGTCCAATGTACCTTCAATTAATATATTTTTGCTGAAAGTTAATTAAATAATTTTTTAAAAGCCTAAATCCAAAAAATAAAATAATAATATAAAATTACTTATGTGAGATTATGAAAAACGTTTGTTAGAGACAATATTTTACAACATAATTGAAAATAGTTCATTGGATTCGAAATGCCGATTAGGATTAATTATTTATTTTGAGTGTTGAAAGCATTGACGTAATGCTTAAAATAAGCAATTTCCAGTATTAAATTGGCTAGTATTTTTTTTTAATATAAAAAATGCGTTTCTTTATTTATCTAAAATATATTTCCGAAGCTTTTACTGTTATCGTCGTTACATGATTTCTAATAAAAAATTCATAGCGCTCGAAAAACGAATGTGAGTTGAACAAGTACTTCGGGCCGCTCGTATAACGCTAATATACGTGAGGGGAAGGGGAGCCAAAGACATTGCCAAGATTGTACATACAGTACGTATAATACACATAGGTATCGATAGTGGTTGCAGGAAAACTCGATCAAAGCGTGCAGATGGGCGTGCAAAGAGAACCGCGTGCAGGACGAGAAAGAATGAAAGAAAGAGAGAACGATTCAAAATCGAAAGTAATCTGAGAAAAAGCTGGCAACACGCCGAATCGGATATTATGGTTCTTTCGCGCCAATGCTTTATTCTCTTCTTTTTTCCTCTTCGAACCATCGTCGAAAATACCGATTCGGCGAGTTGAATACGCGTGCAGTTTGGATTTGCGTGTAGCAGAAACGGTCACGTCTCTCGAATGATCTTAAATCTTAATGATCGAAGATCATCGTGGACGAGCCGGAATGCAGTCGGCGCTCAAACAGTCGGCGAACAACGACGAGGCTTCTCTTCGCGACGATATAACGAATCACACGACGCGAAGATTCTCTTTCACGGAATTGCGCCCCGAAAACCAATAACGATTTACAGGCGACGTTACTCTTTTTGTTCTTGAGGTAAAACAAAATTGATTACGGTACGCATCGCACGAGGTCGGACACGCTGATTGATCGATCGTCGCGGCGCAGAGCCATCGGGGAGAGCACAAACGATGGCCGGCGGCACCGGTGTTTCCCTACGTGCCGATCAATCAGTTACTTTCCATCGTCGCTATACCAGCCAACGAACTGGAAAATTGCCAGTCCGGTCCTATCACGACCGACGCCTCAGCTCGCGAATCTCAATGATAATCCGCTCTCGTCGCCCGACGCGATCTTATTCCGTAAGACGTGGCGCGAATCCATCCGAGTCTTTCACGTCCCCCGACGTCGTCATTGGCATCCCGATGAGCGCCGACCGGGTGTTCCGTGTTCCGAAATACGATGCCGGTGAATTTGGCGTTGAGAGTTGCGGACGCGTCTCTCAATCGTGGAAGAGAAGAGGAGAGAAAGAAAGAAAGAAAAAAAAAGAAAGAGAGAGAGAGAGAGAGAGAGAAGAGAAGAAGACCAAAATGATCGCCGTAACCGCGCCAAGTACTAGAGAGAGAGAGAGAGAGAGAGAGAGAGAGAGAGAAGACCAAAATGATCGCCGTAACCGCGCCAAGTACCGATTCCGGAACACGGTCGGTCTATTACACCAACGGTGTGCGTTTACCGTTGACGTGAAGGAGTGCAGAATGAGCGACGGTTGCAGCGCCATTGGTCACGCGACAGGTGTACGTGCCATTGTGCGCGGGTGCGATCGTGCTAATGCTCAGGGCGCTGGTAAAAGCGTCATGTATTCCGATGGTAATGCTCTTTCTCTGGGACGAGGAGGACGCTTCGTCATGCCCGGGGCCGGAGGCGGTGGCAGGGCCCCTTAGCTTGGGGCCCCCGTTAATCATCGCGTCCATCCCAGGACCGGCCGGCGGCCGACCGCGGCTGCCCGACGGCGCATCCTGCGACGACGGCAACGTCCTGACCGTCTCTATCGGGACGTTATCTTTGAGCCACGTGAATGTCAGTGGTAGGTCGCCGGTCACGACTACGCACTGTACGCTAGTACGGTCCCCTACGTTTAAATCGCGAGCAAAACTGAAAGGCGTGATTTTAGGTGGCACTGAAAGAACAATACAGACAAGGTGGCATTCCATCAAAGCAGTTCAGATCACTAGAGAATCACGATGTTGTAGTCGGGAATATCATCGGGAATGAATTGATTTGATTGGTTATGGGGAGGATGGAAGGATAAATAAACGGTCGTAATCGTCGCTCCGCGCCGCTGCCAGATGCGCCTTCGAACGGAAAGCAATTTTTCAGAGCGGCACGATTCCAGCAGCAACGCGGCAGAGTTCGGGGAAAGAGGAGAGCAAGCAACTCTCCGCGTCCGATACGGCATACGTCAGAAACCAACAGCGGGATTCGATGCTGAGAGATGCGGCGAGATTAATCGATCCTTCCTTTCGCGGCTTCGACTTGCTCTTGACGGCGGAAATCAAGACTTGGCGCGCATCGCAACCAAGAAAGCGAGAGAACGCTCGTCGATATCGAATTCGAGATAATTGCAATCTTTATTTTTCGACTTCCCGTCGCATTTCTCTATCGCGAACGGATTTTTACATTCAGAAAAATGTTTTGTATGACATGTGAGACTTACAAAAACTGTCTTATTTTTTAAAGATTTTGTTCTAATCGATTTTAATTAAAAGAAAATTTTTAAAAAGTAAGGAAGTTTTCACACACACATATATCATACATTCTCCTAAGTGTTTCCGTTGAAACACAAACGAGTATTTCTCACGCGAATAACGCAAATTAAACAGACGTATCCGATATCGTGACGTGAGATGCTCTTAGGGCATTGCTTCGTTACGTACAGATCGACAGCGGGTTGAGAGAAAGAACGTGTGCAATTTTAATGAAAGGCAATCGCGTCGGTGATTTTCAACAGAATATTCAGTTTGCCGACGCAATCTCCGTGGTAAACTCCGCATTTAGAACGAAACAAACTTTGTATACACGCATTGAACAAACGTGTTTGAAAATTTTGGTAGATCGGAAACACGGAAACTCGAAGGAAACATTCAACCAGGAAATGTTACTTTACAAAAATAATACGTTACCGTTACTCGTTACTAAGTTCAAAAAGTAATACATTATCATTATTTAGAAAATAATGATTCGTTTTCTTTTTGTAATATTAAAGTAAGATATTAAATATTACAGTCATCTAAAAAAAATCTTCTAATTTTTTAGATTATATACTACTATGGATTTTCAATATTAACAATAACCATCAGAATGCAACTTAAGTACAGAATATTTTTTAATATTAACTTCCATTTAAATGGAATATTTCTATTGTATTTAATAAAAAAAATAATACAATCTATAGAATAGATATAAAGATAATAGGGAACTAAAGTAATTATAAAAATAACGACCGAATGTTCGTTTCTATTACAGATAGTACCAATTATTACTGGGGAAAAAAAAAAAAAAAAAAAAATAGTAACGGTAACGGCGTTACAAACAACGTGTTAACCCTGCATTCACATAGATAGCTGTTTACACGTTGTATCAATTTTATCGTTGGCAAAGCTGACAGATCCTGCACAATCACCATGGGGATTATTATTAAATATTTATTATTTAATTTTATACACTGTTTCACGTATCACGGGGTATTACGAATTCAATACCAAACTCCCGCCATATATAGTATCATGAAAAAAAGTCGCGCGTTATCCCCTGCTGTGTGCACACGTACGGGGGAGACATTACGATCGAAAGACGTTTTGCGGTAATACCCCGTGCAACATCTGCACGCAGTACGTCGCGTCGTCTGTCTTATGTACAATACGTTACGTACATACGTGGCAGCTGGATTTTTATGTACATAAGTACACGAGTACATAAAAATACTGTGGAGTAGAACAGAGCAGTTTAGGCGAGCGCGTGCAAAGGAGGAATGCTTGAGCGATGCAGTGAGGTGCTGTGCTCTGTGCATAGGTCATTTCCGGAAACGTCTTCAGCACGCGCGGCGTACGCCTAGCAACGCGTATTAAGCACACGTCGCGTTGCCGGAAATCGCGCGTTCACTTGTAAGCTGCCTCTACAATTTCGAAATATAGTTCGTAAATAAGGACGCGAAATAAAAATCTGCATCTATGGGTGCTTTCCATTTAGTGACACGAATCAACACATCATTTTATCTTTTTTCACATTCAGAAAGTAACAAAAATACGAAGATACTTTATCGATTTGTATCACTTTGTGCCATCAAAGTGGAAAACGCTCTATAGGTATACAAATGGTAATCAATTGGATTGAGTTGTGATGCTAACTTCTATGCTGTGACGACTGTGTTGACCAATGACAGTAAAAAATAGCGGAAATGAACTTTGCTTATTTATCAGCAGAAAACTACCCTTTTTTATACATTTTCATAATATGGAAAGTATCAGACACATTGTAGTAGGTTTCTCTAACCTGACTTAAATTAAAATGTCAACACTTTAAAATGTCAACGCTGTCGCAGTTCAAATTTATTGCGTATGATTGGTTAGCACCTACGTATATCTTGCGTGCGATAATACGTCATTCCGCGTCTACGTTTGCGAACTACATTTTACGATTTACGAATTATGTAGCGGCAGCTTTACAAAAGCACTACGGGCCACAGCTAAGAAAAATGACACTTGTTTTCCATTTTCGCGTAAAATTTCCTGTTTAATTTCATTTCAAACAAGTGCCGCATACGTAACATGATGATTTCAATCGTGCTTTAGCCTGTAATTTGAGTATTTTGTCGAAACATTTAATATATATTCAAAATTAAATATTAAACATTAAGCAAAAATATGGCTAATTGAAAATACATAGTTCAGTTTCAGCGCGATTTCCGGGACGTCATGTATACATCATTTTATGTATAACTGTGCGCAATACGCACATCACAATAAAAAAAATGTATATACATATATATTGTAAAGTTATTCTCATCAGAAAAAATCCCACACGATTTCAGGGAAGCCTCTAAATCCAGGGCGAGGCGGAGCTGAAAATAGTACAATGCCTCGCATTTCAACAGAAACCTGAACATTACGTATATGTATCCTCCTTTTTTCCTTTTTTTTTTTTTTTCTAAATTATACGACGTAATTGCCGAGCGATATAAAAATGAAATAGTCAATCAAAACCGAAAAAGATTAAATGCGTTACACTCTGTAATCGTCCAACGTGAAAAAAATTTGTCGAAATATATTCCTTTGGCAACGTAAAATTCTCTATCCTAATTTTCGCGCAACTCGCATTCGAGTGACGAGCGAGTGCATACGCGATCGATAGAATCGATAGGATCCTCGTGCGAAAAGCACCCATGTATTCCGAGGGACGATGTGCAATGCGATAAACCGAAGACTCGGGTCGATGTTGTCCCGTACTAATTAATCCTGCCCAACGTCAAACAACGCTCCATATAGAGTTAGGTTGATGAACCTAATAGAAACATTATGTAAAGATAAAATCGGCAACGCGCGTCAAACGTTGCATGCCGCGCACGTTATGTATAAACGGGCTGCAATTAATACAGTCGGATGGGGTACCAGCCAATGGATAGTTAATATGTTCGACAAAGGGAGAATGCATATTAACGTGCGCCTGTGATATCCATAATCGCGCTTCGATATCGCGGAGGCAAATTGCAAAAATGATAGATTTTGCTAGTGAAAATTTTTAATAAATCTTCACGTAAAACTTACCGCACTGAAAAAAGAGTCTGATAATAATTATCAAATAAGAGTAAAGTATTTCAATCAAATATAAGCAAAATTAATTTTACTTTTCTAATATTTAGTAATTATTACCAAACAGTTGATTATATTATTATATTATGCTTGGTAATATTTAATATTGTGTATAGAAAAGTAAATTATTTCTTCTTATATTAACAAACATTTAAATAAAATTATTTTATTTATCATTTGATAGCTATTATTACATTGTTAGATATCAAAGGAGCAATAGTAATCTAATCCTTTTTATAACATATACATATATATATATATATATTTTGTATATTTAATTCCCATATGTGTCAAAATATAAATCAATCTATTTCTGTGATTAATTTCAAAATAAACAACATTCATATTAATGTATGCACTTAATAAATAATAAACTAAATTTGAATCAAATTGAATATTCCTTCAGTAATATAAATTGTTTAACGTTATTTTTAATTAAATTAAGACATATTAAAAATAACTCAATTTGAGTATAATTTGATATTATATGAATTTAACAGTGTGTATAGATTCTTTTTTCAGTGTAGACTCTTGCCGTTAATCTTAATTTAAAACAAACTATGTACCTTTGCAGAAGAGATATTACACCTTTTACCTGTACGCCATTAGATAATGGAGTTATCGTACTGTAAAAATTGCGCCAATTAAATATAACAATATATCGTGTTAAAAGTATTGTCGTAAGAACTCATTATCTCGGTAGTAAGACCGCGAAATACCTTTCTCCCATTTCGAAGGGCAAAGAGACGATTTATCGTTTCATTTCGCGAGTGTTTCATGCTCGCGCGCGTAAAGCAATATCTTTATTTTCGAATGCTAATTTTACGAACACTTTAAATTCCGGTGCTCAATATCGCGGGGAATTATGCAGAACTGTTGGCTACGTTTACTTACCTAGAACACGTACTTCGACCGAGCGATGCGACGTGAAATTATGTTTGTTTCTGGCAGTGCATGTGTATGTGCCTTCATCGGCGCTGCGCTGCACAGTATCGATGAACAGCGTGCCGTTGGCGACTCTTTGTCTCATGTTGGTAGGCAGTTTTATGTCCCCTGATAACAACGTTTCGGCATCGATTAAAAGGGGTCCTCGCGTTCGAGAATATTTGAAATATCCAATAACGATACTTGGTTTCGCGAGACGCAAATATTTCGCATTTTCGTATCGATTCTTAGCCGCATAAATTAATTTGCAAACATAAAACACGCAACATAAATTCGATGAACTACCTTGTTAGATAGGATCAACCCAATCCTTTGAGTTAATTAACATTTTGTTATTTTTAACTTCCATGAGTGTCAAAATGTAAATTAATCCATTTCTGTGACCGAATTGCTTAGTTTCAAAATAAACGACATCCAACATACTGTACATATTAACATATGCAATTACAAGAGAATATCATCAATACTATTCCTCATCGATGGGCTTTGAATATATTGTAAAGCATAAAAAAAAATATTAAACTTATATTTTGTAATCTGCTTATCTCAAGGTTTGGGGACTGAAACAACCCTTAGGAAAGGAAGGATAAATTAAAAAATTTGATATCTTAAAAAATACGAATGAATTATTAAAAATATAAAATGCTGCAAAATTTTTATATAAAATACATTTTTTCATATACCTTATTATAGTTTCAAAGATATTTGCCAAAAAGCAAAAATATACAATATTATTTCCAAGAGTTGTTTTGATCTCTAAGTCTCGAAATAAGCAGATAAAAAATGGCTGTAATATTTTTTGATGATCTGCAACAGTGATGTACAACCTGGAGCCTACCTGCCGCAACTTTTGCAACTCATAGTTAAAAATTATATTTTCTATTTTATGTGAACACGAAATGAACATCATTCGGCGAGCAAGATTTTCTCTTTCTGAAAATAACCTTCTAAAATAACCCTTAAGAAGGTTATATTCATCATCACTGCTCTACAATATACCCAACAAAATTAGTGAGGAATAATTCCGGTGGTATTCTTGTTATTAAATGATAAATTAAATTTGAGTAAAATTTAATACATTTCTTAAGTTAAATAGTTTAACTTCGTTGTTTACTGAAATGAATATATCGAGTAGGAATATTGGTGATTTATAAAACTATAAATAAAGTACCTACTTTAAATTAGATAATATAATTGGACATGATACACTGTTAAAAATATCAAAAAAGTAATATTCTATCTGAAACTCTTGAGTTATAAAGTAACATTTTATTATATTAATTTCTGTAGTTAATTTTAAAATACATCATCCATTAACATCTATGTCAAATTAACGATATATTAGGTACAAGCAGTAGCGATCTATATGTGTAGATATAATCAAAAATAATTCAAATTAGATATAATCTCTAATATTATGAATTTAATAATGAACATTTAACAGTGTATAATTAATTGCATGGCACACTTGTTATAAAAGAAAACGATCAATCAATGTGGGAGATCAACGACAGACCTTAACGTACTATTCGCCGCAATGGAAATATTGAATAAACGTACGGCAAAAGCCCGTTATTCGGTCAGGGATTAACAGAAATGACGCACGATGCTTACCTTTCTCCCACACTATCGATTCGATAGGATAACCGGCTACAGGACACTTGATATATAGTTGCTTCCCCGCGACCGCTGAAACGGGCGACATCGGTCTGACGTATGGCAGTCCTGAGATTAGAAAGCAGTAAAGCTCGTTACGCTGCAGCCACGCGAAACAGCATAAAGTTATAAATTTCCAGCAGGAAATCTAGTTCTCTGTTCTCTCGATTCCAGGGAGATAGAGCCGCGTAAAAAAAAATAAAAAAAAAAAAAGATGAAACAGATTTTTAATATCGCCGAGCGAAAAAGGACAATTCTGACACCTTTGGATTTGATAAAACTGCAAGTTTAATTTTTAATGATACAGAAATGGAATATTTTTTTCTTCACGGTAAATAAGTAATCAAGTTTAACTGTACCAAAATCGTAATCATGGCTCTCTGCCAGGATTTGAATCACAGAAAAACGTATTTGCTGACTTTTGACTTTCGCATTGACTCACCGTAGATATTGAGTCTCGCTGAGTGTCTCGCTTCACCAGCGCGGCTGCTGGCGATGCACTCGTACTCGCCGCCGTCTTCGGGCTTTACAGTCGTGATATTAACGTGGGATATTACGTCCCCGTACACGGTCACGTATTGGCCAATCAGGAGCCTGTCGTTTTGTGGAAGCGGAAATCCATCTAGCAGCCAGGAAATTTGCGGCGTGGGATTACCCGCGGCGCTGCATTTCAGAGAAACCGATGGACCAGGTTGCATTGTCTGTTCGATAAACCTGTAGACCAGCTGCGGCGCGATCTCTGTTAACAGACGTTACGGGCAGAGATTACGTATACCCCAAAGTTTCCAAATGCCCCTTTGTACGCCCGCCTTTTCCCCGTGTCTAACGCGTCGCGTTATAGCGGCGTCCATATATTTCTACGCTCTTTTTTTGCTCCTCTCTTTCATACGTACCAAATCGATTGTCGAACGTGAAAGCGAACCATCACGAATTTAAGTTCGCGACCTGACGATATCTCTCGTCGACTCGTGAAAGCCATTTAAAAATAATCCAAATAAAAAACTGTGCCAATTGTCGTTGCAATATCCCGTCGATCCGCGGAGTTATCTACAAATCGTCTGAATAGAGACAGAAAACCCAATAGCGGGGTGATACCTTATCAATAATGTTGAAAACGAGAAAACAATATCATTAAATAATTAACTCGTAAAAAACAGTGACAATTATGACGGATAGTGGTCAACGTTCAAATCTCGTGGCGGAGCCGCATACTTATCTGTTTAATTATAATATTGCAGCAATATATTGCATATTTTCTACAAAATATTGAAATTATAATATTTCACAGTATTGTTGCGATATTTCCAATCAAGTACTAAAATTTCAATATTGCACAATATTGCTGTAATTTTTATAATATTAATTATACATACATATATATATGTGTGTGTGTATACATGCATGCATATATACCATATTTGTAGTTTTTATCGAACGCACCGAAATCTTTTCGAACTTACAAACGCAGCTAAATAATACTGAAATACTGTCAAAATTAAAATTTGATGATCGATAGGCATTTATTAGAGAGATTTTAATAAATATAATAGAAATTTGTAAATAAATTTATTTATTGCGAAAAATATTACCTCAGCTGGGAGTCAAACCCGAATCTCTTGCATTACGTGCAAGTGTCCTAAGCCTTTATAGACTATTTCGGTAGACATACTGGTATATATATATGGTGTATATATATATATATATATATATATAAAATTCACATTGAATTATTTAAGCAATAAAATCCAGCTTCGACCGTTATAGACCTTTAATTCTTATTTCTTATTGATTTTGTGTTCTCACATATACGGTCTAATAAGATTCTTATATTGTTTTTATGATATTGTGCATTATTCAAATACTGCTGCAATATTCTGTAGCTGCAAGGATTATTACGATTTCTATCGAGAAAACGCGCAAAAGGTGGGAAAAAGGAGCACCATTTATTTAACGCGGGTTAACTCGATAGTTAAAAGTTGAAAACTCGCCGGAGCAAATATCGGAGGCTCGGCAGTTCGCTCGTGTATAATTAAAAGACTACGTAGAGCCGCCATTAGTAAATTATCAATTAGGTTGACTGATTATTCTCCGCCATTCTGGCACTCTAGGCGAGAGGAAATTTTACGTTGCCACGTTCCTCAACAATAGTAAATTAATGTTTAAGATCGCGGCGTGCCTTAGCACGCGAAAATATGAAATACGTTATTGCGGCAAAAATCTCTCTCGTTGTATAAATGAAGACTGAATAAAAACTCGACAGCTTTAAAACACAAATTTACTTTCTGATTTATCTATAGGAGTCATAACAGCAGGGAAAAATATCACATTTGCACATCATTTCGATAAATGATTAAATAGTATTATCGTGTATCAGATATAATTTATCATGTATCAGGTATAATTTTGTGAATAACGTATCTCTGTTTTGCATAGTGTTTGCATGACGCAGTTCTTGTTGCGCTCTCTGTAATATCGTGTCCAAAATAATAAAATGTTTAAAAAAAAGATATTTTCCCGAGACATGTAATTATGAAGATTAATATGATTTGCTTTAATTAATATTAGTGGCGTCGGGCAGCCACACTTGTTTTCTCGAAATTTTAGAAAACATCAACGCAGTGATGTTTCCAAAAACGGTCAGACTCGCTGGTAACAAAAATTACATTGGAACGCAACGAGGTCATATTCCAGATTGAAGTTTACGCAAAATGTCAATGGGTGTTTCAGATAAACGGTATGATAAAGCGTGATTTACATAAGCGATACATTCATCCGAGGTTATGCGTTTTCTAAGGGCGACAAAGTAAATCTTTCTCTCTTTTTCTCTCCATAGCGAAACGGGAGAATGCCATAATCATAACAGACAAGATATCACGTTCGCGTAATTCCATCCAGGGGCAGGGACCGCCAGTAAAATTCGCAAATTCGCCGAGATGTTCCCGCGGACCGGCTTTCATACCCCGACGTATCTATGACGCATAATAAATAGACGTAGTTGGTCGCGCTGCTCCGCGAAATCGCGCGCGGCTAGCATGCAAAGCATCGGCAAAACCGCAGGAATCTCGTTAGCGTATGCAAATCCAGGGGTAGTAGTAGCAGGTACTAACTATCCTATCGTGCTGCGGGCGATCCAACCTAATGTACACTCTATACCCCTACAGCTTAGAAATCATGGAGACGGGAAGAATCCTAATGACAAGGTAATAGGCACCCGGCTCCGAACTTGGACGACGTAAATTACTAATTTTCTATCCACCGTCGCAACTGGAACGACGGGCTTCATTACTATGGGTATGAATAGCGATTACATGACATTTTGTTGACGTAACGTAGAAGTTGGTGCGCAACTATTCCTCGTCACGTAATTTCGATGATAAAATATTTTTCCGTCGTAGTACAAAAAGTCTCGCTGCGATGTTGTGCCGCATAATTTTTTTTCAATTATTTATAAATCTGGATATTAATGTATACAAAAAATTAATTCGGTGTTTTTTAATGTAAAAGAAAAATGTAACATTTATGATACCGGAAAATACAGAAAAATTGATGAAAAACGATGTAACACCATACCATAGAAAATTTGCGAGTTATCGTAGTGTTTTCATCCATTACTAACGCTAACTGCTGTTTACTTCATCAAGGCGAAGAGCACACTAAGTATCACTTTTCCTCCATGAAGTGAACGGCAAGGTTCACGAAACGTTAGCATTAACAATGGATGAAAAATATGAAAACACGGAGATAACCCACAAACCGTCTGGTGTCTTTGAAGATAATATCCGTGGAAGCCTCAAAAGCGTTGATATAACACCGGCCAAAGTACATACAGCATACGAGATATTACCAGTGCTTGTTTCTAGCAAAAGCCACAATATAACACAGTATACCGCAGTGAACATTCCATCTTTGTTTAACATTGACAAACAACAAGGTTGATGATTCACTGTATTACACTATGTTGTTACTAAGCATCTTATGTTTTCCACTGAATCAAATCTAAGTAAATTATAGCACATACATTTACGCTCATTTCTAAATGCATTTTATATAATATATCAATGTATACACAAAACATTTTTAATAAATAATGTTTTAAATCAATCTCTGTTGAACTCAGAGAACCAATGAAGACATAATAATTATTGGCTCCATTTTTTTCTGTTATAATTCATTTTCGTGTTGTTTTGTTTTTAACATTATTAACTTTCTATTATTTTATTTTATAAAAAATATAAAAGAAAAATAAAAATGATGAAAAGTAAATAAAACAAGAAACAAACAAAACTAAAAAAGACCAGTAATCACTACATTCTCGTTATTTTGGTTCCAGATTAAACAATGATTTAAAAATTATAATATTTATCTTTAAAAAAAGCTGTATAAAATGCATATAAAAGTAAACACAAATACATTTATATATTTAGAATTTATATAAACTGATCATACAGAAATAAAGAAAACAAACATCATATATGCGCAGTACGTACTTTGTATGATATTATTGTTTTTGAAATTTCTCCTGCATTTCCTGATATCGTAAATGTTATTCTTCTCTTTCAGCTCAAGAAATATTATAGAATTGGTTTTCTATGCTAAATGGTTAGCTAATTTTGGTGATTCTACACTTTTTCCTCTTTATCTTATATTCTATTTATTTCGGTTTAATTATGTTGGTTTAGTGGCTGAAAACTTAAATCTAATAGAATATACTATAATATTTTATCGGATACTTTTCTGTTCGAAGAGAAATTTAGTGGTAAAATTACTCGACAGCTAAGAGAAAACCGGGATAAGAAGGAAGAAGGAAAGTAGTAATTTAGCTCGCGCGTGATATCCGAACTCGGATTACGACGGAGGAAGAAACAAACTGTACACGGCGCGGCGTCCAGGATCGGTACGCTTGTTTCCGACGAGGGAACGGTAGCTGAGCGCGGGCTATAAGCGATTTTGAAAGAAAATTTAAACTTTCAAAGGTCATAAAAGTTACCAAATGCCAGCCGTATAAAGGTTAATGGCCGCGAAAGCCCGTACGAACTTCCAGAAATGTACAAATCGCTCGTAAGAACGGCACGAAACTCAACACGCTTTCCCTTGCCAGCAGCAATATTCTCCTCCCGAGGTGGAAGCAGTATAAAATAAAAACTCAAAGCTGGAAGGACTACCTTTGGAGTTATATCTCGAAATCTAATTGAAAAATAACACCCTCTTACGAATAAAAGTATGAACAAATGTTGTTAAACATTTACTAATTAAAAATGTAACCTCTATATACTTACAATTAGCAGCATCTCTATACTAAAAGCAACATGATATCAATATTATAATTTTTCGCACTCAATGTAATATTATTTAAACACCATGTGTTATATTACAATACAATATCAACAGCAATAACAGAATAATTTAAATATGAATAGCCGATAAACGTACCGAAATCATACTGTGGTTTTTTGCGAAAAATTTCAGAGGGAATTCCAGACAGAGAGAGAGCTTTTTCACACGAAACACATTGCGCTCTAAGTTACCGGACATGTTCCACGTGTCATATGTTACCCATGTGATCCGTCCAATGCTTGGCTGCAATGTTATCGGTGAAACCTATCGTAAATCGCTTTTATTATATTCCGGGGCAAATTCGCGAGTCGTGTGGTTGTCCATCGGACATTGATGCGCGACGGTGAAGGTCTCACATCGTGGGTTTGTGAGCGGGAGAGCAAACGAGGCCATTTTCGTACAAAAATGGCACGTATCCCGCAGCGAAACGACCAGCCGATGGAAAATACGTTACGGAGGGAACGCTGCGCAAACAGGCAGCCCTCCTCCGCACATATACCGAGTTCCGTAGTCGTTAACCAACATTTTCAAACCGCGAGCAAACCAAGTTTCTGATCAAGTTCGCCAAACACGCGATCGCTCGTCCGAACTCTCTTTTTTCCTCGTAATAAACGCGCGAACGAGAATTGTTAAATGCATTCTCGATTTGCCGTTAAACAACATTTCCGATCAGCAGTGTTGATAACAACAATCGTAATTCATCGCCAAATATTCCATTAAATATACAGTATTCTATTGTATTTATAATTTATAATTTATGTATAATTCTAAAATAAAATAAGAATCAGGGTGCCTGGCTAGATCAGATAACGGAAAATAATTATTGTTGAAGTTAGGTAATGCGATTTGGTATAACTTTGCTGCTGTTGCTGCAAACGAAACTCAACCGGAGTTAATCGAAACCGAGACCACGATTATCGTTCCACAGATGGGAACACGCTCCGTAAAGCACAATCGGAAGAGCGATGAGGGCACTTCCCCGCAAAAATAGCACGTAGCCTGCAGGAAAGTCGTGCTACCTCCTGATGGAGAATGCGTTACGATAAAATGGCACGCGAATCATGGATCGTACAGAGAAAGAATTCTATGGTATTAACGGCAAAACATTCACCGATTGCTTGGTAAACAAAGGTAGTGTTAATAAGATATAAATGTTCATTCTTTATACTGTAAATTAAACTATAAACTATGTATAAAATGTGTTACCGCAATAGGAATAATTCAATTTAGGGGATGATAAAAAGTCATTGAAAATGTCTCGACCATTGTAATAATTATTGTATACTATTTTATATGAACTAAATTTTACGATTTTGCTAAAATATTTAAAAACTTAGCTGATGTGGATCTCAAAATAATTTTACTGAATCAAAATAATTATGTAGGACAGTCAAGCATACATTTTGTTAAATCTAAGTGTCAAATTTAATCTAATTTATGTTGCCATTGCTCAATATACATTGTTATTTTATACTAAAACAATGGTTAAATTTAACACCATATAATGTCAATTTGATACCGTTTATATAGTGTCAAATTGACACTACAAATTTAACAGTGAATAAGCAATGTTGCAAAAAAGTTTTGATTCTCATATCTTAAGCGTTCTACATAATTAATTTAATGATTCAATAAAATTGTTTTTATACCTGTATTTAGCTAAATTTTCAGATATTTCAATAAAATTGTTCTTTCCATGTAATAATTTTGTAAGTAACAATTGAAACATTTTAGAATATAATTAATTCAGTTTTCTTTAAATACGATCGACCATGTTAATTATACGTATTTAATCTGTCATTGAGAAAGAGATCGCTGATCTTATAACAATTCTAAAATTTTCGAGTCTTTGGGTGATGGCATGACGACTATTTTCAGCTTGCCCAAACATTAAGGCGTCGCGACATACTATTGCACATCCGGAACGCGATGCCAGAATGTCTTACCCCCTAAGCGTAATTCCGCAATTCCTTGAGCCATTTCGTACTCGTTCCGCACGAAGCACTGGTACATGCCGCGGTCTTCTCTCGCGACCGACGTCACGGAAATACGCTCACTGGAGACCGTCCTTACCCGGGCGCCCGTTCTCAATGGCTGACCATCCTTCAGCCAATAGAGTGCCGCTTGCGGAAATCCACTTGCGGTGCACGTCTGCAAAGGAGTTTAGACGGAAGAAACTGATGAGAATCAAGAAAAGGACTTGCCCGGCGCTCTCGCCCGGCGTGCGGAAACGAAGGAGAATACCGTCTCGTCTCGAATCCGCAAACCGTGAGCTTCTTGAGAAAAATCAGATCTCTATATTCCTGAAAATATATTCGAATCACACACACCCGACACCAGGACCGGCATTAATTTCCGGCACGTACAGATTCATTTCCCGCGTCATCGACAGCGCTTTACGGTATTTATAGATGGTTGAAAACGGTAAATATTCATAACAGTAATTGAAGTGTTCGATATTTGTAAGCGATCTGTCAGATATTCTCATATTCTTAAATTAGAATACAAGATAAAAATTTTAGACGTTCTATAATTTACCGTTTGAGAAACCGTTACGAGAGTAAACTATCAGAATAAAAACATAAAAATAATAATGTAAGTCGAAAATTGATTACTAAATGAATAATATAATTAAAGAAAAAATCCTATATTCAATTTTGATGCTTAATAATATTTATATGTAAATTTTCAAATACATTTTTCTATAAATTGTGTGCTGATTCGGTTTGTTGAACTTAAAATGCAATTATATTTAAATTAAATATGCTAGAGATAATATCACAAATTACTGCACATTGATTTATTTATCAATGTAATAATAAACATCTTAAAACGCTGCAAAGAATGTATTCACACAAAGAAAAATATCACACTAACTCAGATCTTTCAATTTTCTAGAACGGATGTCTTAATTATATCAATTCATCTACTAACCGATATATGATAAATGTGACATATAAAATGGATATATGTATACTCATATCAAAACGCATAGACTAAAAATTATAAATGACGTTCTAACATTTGAATTAAATTATAAATCATCTAAAGTGATCTCTAAAGTAGGATTTTCAAAACTCTATAAGATATTCAATGAGTTCTTGTATTTCAGACCATCTTAAATAAAGTCTCAAGTTGTTCTTAATTAACTATAAAACCACATCTTAAAATACTTACTTAACTTTTCGGTTTCCTAACGAAATAAGTTATTCGCTTCAACAATATAATAAAATTTTTCAGAATAATTTTGCTATAAAATTTGATGATTTTCATGCATTTTTCTAATTAATTTTTAAGTTATAAGCTTTTATTTGAAACAAATAAATGCATTATATATACATACACAATTTTTAGAGAGATGTAATGTATTTACAACGAACCAATCGCCCCTCTTGAAAATAAATATTATTATATAACTACTTTGAAGAGTTCACTTTTAATTAAAATAAAAAAAAATTTTATCAATTTTTTAAAAATAATATTTACGTTATTTGCAGAGTTGTGCAAAAACCAGTATATTATATAAAAACTACAATAATTGTTTTGTTATTTGTGTTTTATAATTATAGCATTTCTATATATAAATGAAAATAATGACATTTATTATTTACGCATTGATTTGTTTATTTATCATATTTTAATATAATTGTGAACATCATAAATATACTATTGTGTAGAAAAATTTTTGGGATCACCGCTCGTTCAATTTGAAAACTTATGTTTAGAAAATTAATGGAAGTTGAAAGTTAAGACAGTCTTGAAATAAGAACAAAGTATAAATATCGATCTACGAGCGATAGTTTTCTTCTGTTCTTTGCGGTATTAGATTCCTCGAAATATCATTTTTTTCCCTTTCTCTGTCCAACTTATTTCTACACAATTATACGTTCGGAGTGAGCCTACGTAAGCCTTATTTATTTTCAAATAAATCGATATCGATGATGATTGATTACCAGATAGGCGGATTTCCCCAAATCAACCGTCTGTATCGCCGGTTGCACGTGAACACTCAGTGGTGCAGACACTGTTAATCTGATCTCCAAAGTTTCGCTGCCTTCAGAATTGCTGGCAGTGCACATATAAGAGCCGGCGTCATTCTCCTCGACGCTCTGGATAATCAAGGAGCCATCACGCATCACGTAATGGCCTGACGATTCCTCGATCGGTTCCTCCCTCTGATTCCTATTATAGTACCACCTACGCGAGAAAACAGAAACAGGATTCTCCGTCATATAGTGTATTTAAATTCGATTCGATTCCATTTCCAAGGACCATTATTATCAGGCGGCCACCAAGTGAAAGCATCGACGGTGTAGGCAGACACTCGCAGAAACTCTGCTTTCGCATCGCTCCGACTCACATGTGCGCGTTCTCGACAGAATGCGTATGCAAATTTACCATTTCCCGCGCTCGTCAAAGCGACGATGTTATTATTGTAGTTACCTAACCAACGAGATTTCGAAAACGTTGCGTTCATGTACGCGCGTCGGTGCCTGTCCGAAACCGTATCTCCTCGCTGCACACACTTACCACAAAATAACTATTGTTTCATCGGGAAAGACCGAATGCATTTCCCCCTGCTATTGTACATCCATACTACGCGGCTATATTCCTGTATTTCTGTTTCTATACACGCATATATGGTGCGGCGAGATACGTACCCTGGCACGCTTTCAAAACGTTCACTTTTCAAGAACGTGCATTTTAATGATATTTGTCAGCGCGATTATTCAGACGGCTGCAGCCGCGTTGACGTGTGTGTCACGTTAACCCTTTAAAGTCTCTTTTTTTTAAATGAAATATTTATTGTCTAGTTATTTTTGAAGACTCAGGGAATCGCTTGAATATAAAAATGAGATCGAAACATAAAAATTGGCGGATCAAAATTACGGATCTAAAAAATAAAATATTATATTATAATAAAATTTTTATTATGTAGACAAAATTATTTAAACGACAAAATACGATCAAAATATATAAAATGCGATGTAAAAATGAAAAAAACTTATGGCAGTTTTACAATACATTATTAAATAATAGCAGTAAAGCTATAACATAGAAAGCTTCAAAAGTTTTCCTTTTGTAGCTATAAGTCAATCAATTTCTTCATCAATAGTTATTTTTCCTGTCATTAAAATATAGAAAAACTTAAAATGTTCGTTTATACATTAGTAATGTATAATAAACAATTTTTTTTTAAACAAGATTGAGTTGTAAGGAATAGTTTAATATTTACCAAAAATATAATTTTTTGAAGACACTGGTAATATATATATTACTAGACTTTAAAAAGTTAACGTATAATAGGAATTTTTAGCGCTCCGGGTTCAAACAATTTCAAACACCTTTATCTTGCTAAGATTTAGGACACCGTGTAAGAATATATAATAGAAGTTTCCACTTCTATAAAATTATCGGTCTTTTCATAAGAACATTCCGCAATTAAACTTAAGGTGGCATATGTGTCTTCTCTAAACTTGTAGAGAGAGAGAGAGAGAGAGAGAGAGTGAGAGAGAGAGAGAGAAAAGTGAAATTTCATTCTTAAAGATTGAAAATTGAGCCACTCTTTTCCAAGAATGGCTTTTTTCACTCTTTAGAGTAAAATATTACACTTTAAGAATTTAGAGAATTGGAATACTACATCTACACATGTCTCTTTACTAGTATTATTAACAAGTCTCTCTACTGATATTAGCAATTCTCTCTACTAATATTAGTAAATGTGCCTTACACATGGAAAGCTTAGCTTCTCGTACATGCGATGTTAAAATCAATATTCCATCTAATGTTTGTATTTTAACTTCCCCATTTTCAGGACCATATTTTCCAGTGAAATATGATCAAGTGGTAACATCTATATTCTTACACTGTGTGGTTCGGGACAACGCCGACGATTTTTGCCGAGGCGCATGCTATAACGCTCTAGCATAACTATGCGAATATATAGCGCAACTCCGTAGATCGATCCCTTGCGAATTTCACGAAACGAGATCACGCATAACTTCGCCGGCTCTCCGTGTTCGTCTTAATTGAAAATTCGGGGTGCCCGTGCTGTCTCGATTTAAGCCAGTCTTGGCAAACAGGATAATCCAATCGATCCTTGGCGAGCACGCGCGACCTTTGACCTTATCGGTGGTCAGTACGATGTGAAATGCGCACCGACGGCCGCGCAAGAACATGTTAATCCGAACAAAATAGTCTATCTTTTACTATTAATTCGTGGCATTAAGCGACATTAAAGAGATTTATTGGCATCAGTTTCTATTTGCATATCATGTACATTATTGAGCTTATGCGCGAGAGATGGATTTTCTATAGGGGAGCACTCTAACAGGAAGTATATAAATCTCGACGAAGATAATTTCCTTCCCCCTCTCTATTATCTTATCAATCCCGTCGGCACGACGTCAGTGTTGCAACGGAGTCACTAATGAAAATTTCAAGCTGCCGCCATTTTTACGATACGAATCTGTTAGCGTCGACTATTTAACGAACTTGCATATGTATTTGTATAACTGGATTGACATGAATTTTTAATATAACGCGAATAAATTTCAAACATATGCGTTCTCTGCGCTCTAATTAAAATGAGTTGAAAATACGTTGTTTCTTTAATAATGTAAAACTCACTTTTAAATATTGTGCAAAAATAGAATTCAAATGTAAAAGAGAATTCTAATTAAATCTGCTGTATCTCAATTAAATAAGTTAAAAGACATAAAGGATAAATGTTATTCGCTTTAATAAAAAAAGTATATTGCTTAAATACCTCTTCGCTTAAGTCGATTAACGTTAGACGTAAAACCGCTATCAATATTTCAGATAAATCAGGCTAATTAAATGAGATTACTCATACAAATCGATTATAACTGAATACCGGCGATATTTAAATCGATCCCAATTCGAGATCCCTTATCACCCTACGGGAAGTTTATCGGAACCGAATAGAGCCAGTTCATCTTTCCACGATTGCTCGTAACGCGCCATTAGCCTTGGCATCGTCTCTCTCGTATTCACAGAACTCCCTCAATTTAGTCTCTTCCTCTCTCTCTCTCTCTCTCTCTCTCTCTCTCTCTTTCTCTCTCTCTCTCTCTCTCTCTCTCTCTCTCTCTCTCTCTCTCTCTCTCTCTCTCACTCGCTTTTCCGCGATGATCGGCCCCACGTGGTTTAGAAATCCGCTAAAGCGTAGTGGCCCGAGTCTTGCTTACTTCGCATCCGGGAGGAGACGTGAAAGGCCAATGACGACGAGGACGAGGACGAGGATGATGACGATGAGGAGACGGCCAAAGAGGATAGGAGCGGAGATGGCGGCCGTGTTGGCAGCGAAGCAGAAGTGGAGCCACAGGGATGAGGAGTATACCTATAGATAATCGAATTTACGAAGGGAAATTGGCGAGGGTAGGAGATGGGATACGGGGATGCTCGAGTGCGAGGGAACCCGGAGAGATGGAAGACTCCAACGAACCCTCAAACTCTCTTCCTCTCTCCGTCTTCATCTTCTCCATCCTCGTCTTCTCCATCCTCTTGTCCTCTCTACTTGCTTTAGCTTTCTCTTCTTCTTCTTCTCTGTCAGTCTCACTCTTCCTTTTCTATATCCCTTATCCCTATCTCCAGCTTCTCTAGCTTTCCACCCTCCCCCCCCCCCTCGCCCCGCAGCTCTCTTCCGTCGGCTAAATCAACCTACGGAGGAGACGACTAGAAGAGGAGGAGCAGGAGGGAGCCGACGTGGAAGAAGAGGGCGGCTGGAGGAGAGCCGGTGAGGGGAAACGCGCGGTTGATGAACACAAGCATGGAATACTCAGTGACGTCGACGTATACGTAAATGCGGAATATTTGATGGGCTGTCAGAAGCAGTCTCTGTAATCAGCGGTCGGTTTGTTTGCGCTACCCATACAGCCCTCCCGACGTCTATATATCTTCCGACTATCTTCGTTCATCCCCCCGGCTACTATCGTCGCGCCAGCGTAGATTGGCGGCTCTATACGCGTCGCACGCGCGCGCGTGTACACACGCACGCGTGCGCGGGTACACAGACCGCGAATCACATCGTTCTATATCCGCGTCGATTCTACAAAATTTGCGATCAAAGTTCCGTCGATATGTTCTGCCGGCGACGTTTAAAATTTTCATTTTATATTTTCGACGCGTGAGAAATCAGGAATGAGAGAGAGAGAGAGAGAGAGAGAGAGAGAGAGAGAGAGAGAGAGAGAAAAGATTCTAAAAATTGCGACAGAGAGCACTGACTCTTAAAATGACTCTTAAACGTCTCGCGCTCATCGATTTTCGGTTCATCCATAATTATTTAAATGCATCTCGCTGCACGACACGACGATAACCGTGTGTTTCCATTTGACCCGAGTTTGATTACTGCACCGATCCTCCGCACGGTGCTCGCGGCATCAATGATGGGACCAAACTAGTTGCTAATCGCGTAATCCGCTGTAATAACATGCTCCCCACCACGCAACAAGTTTCATAGAGCCTCTCATCGCTCTCTTCGTGGTGTTGCATCGATGTGAGTTGCGATCTTGACACAGACTGATATTTCATATATCGTACGACAAACTCTTTAAACATGTTGATTAGTTATAGAGTCACGGTTGATTCAATCCGGATGACCAATCACAGTTGAATATTCTCTACATATTCAATTGTGATTGATCAATTATTTTATTAAAATTATTTACAATTTAGTTCCGAAACACAATAGATGTATTGAGCCTTAAGGAAGGAAGCGGTTCATTTGCGCACTGTTATAATTGTCCACTGCCAATCACAGATGACTTTCACATAGAGAGTTCTTAAAATCTTTTTCTCGCATTATATATATGATTGAACTTGTGCAATTGATACAGATTCCTTAAAGTATTAATCAATCACGAGTCGAATATGAGAAGATTATACAATTATATATGATTGGTCAGTTTTTTAAAGGCTTACTAACACTTGTATTTCAAGACTTACGCTTACGAAATTCTGAAGGAACACATAAAAGTCAGCAGAAAATTAAAATGACTTAAGTTTGACTCTTAATGTTAATAAGCAGTCAATTTCGTAACAAAGTCATTTTGACTTTTTCTCAATTTGATGTGTTCCTTGGAATGTAGAATGAGTTTTAGGATGGAAAGATCCTTTATGTCCTGCAGTTAATCAACAGACTCGAAAAGTTTTGTTGTACGGCATATGAAATATCAATCGTACGCGTTACCATCCTATTTGCTGTTTCCTCCTCGTTCCTTGTGAGATAAACGTAATACATCCGCGAGCGAGTAATATGCACGAGCGGATAAAGGATGGTATCCGTGAGAGTTAACGTAATATTTAATAGTCGGAGCGCAGAGAAGAAGAAAATTCTCGTTTCATAACTGTTTTCTCGTTCACCTCTCTCGGTTCACCTACCCACCACGGTCTTCCAGGAGTCCGCGATGTCGATGAACTCGTCGCGTGGGCGTTCCCGCGCGTGGGGCTCACATTGCGCGAAATATTCTGTCCGCAGATCTATGTTTAAAATTAGCATTAATATAAGGAAAATAGAGACACAGGCGTCTAGTAGAGAATGAGCATCGTCCGCGTGTTCGTCTGTTATTTGCACAAAGATTCCAATTTCCTCATCACCTGGCGCTGTCGCGCGCGGCAGCACACTCCCGTTAGAACATAACGCGAAACATCATTAAACACATACGCGCGATTTGATTCTGTAATATACATTATTTTAGATACCGAGTCTTTATCTTTATTTTATCCTTATTTTCCACCGAGTTCCCACGTAACAAAGGTAACGACTTTTTATACAAATTTTCATTCAATTAACTACACCCTCCTGTCTTCTTTAATTTCTCTTGAAAAAAAATGACATTAATGAAACTCCTTTTGTGAAGAAGTTACACGATGTTTCCTGTGTGCCTGACAGTGCCAATGATGAGAGCACGAGGCACATTCTTTCAACGTAAACGAACTTTACTTGTTCACATAGTTAGTTTTACACTCTCCATATTCTTGCGTAACGAAAACGGAAGTGCAATTGAAACTCAATATATATCAGTCTCGTTCGTTTCGTTCTAATATCGGATCATCAATATTTATCGTGTGTACGTTGCGATCGCTCTTCATTATTAACTGCCATTCACACCGGGACGTTGCGTTATATATGGATTTCGTGACCGCTATCGCACAACCGCGACGTATGTGATGTTAGCGAAGCGGCCTGTTTAATCTTCAAGCATCACCTTTAATTCAAGCGCAGCGTACCATACTTTGTATGCAGATTACTTAACAGCATCGCTGGGCCACGGCGGAAAGTAAATGCCTGCTTACCGTTTAATTGCGTATCTGAGCGTAACGCAAGCCCTCCCCAAGGAAAGGGGGAAGGATAAGAGAAGAGGGATGAGGTCGACGAGGGAAAAAAATGCTATTTAAAATCTAATTATGGGAATTACGAAATTGGTAATACCACGGAAAACTCGGACTTTCGGTACGCGGCCTGGAGATCCGGTACACGTATACGCACGCATACACGAAAGAACCGTTTCTACCTCGCAAATACGCTTCGTTAATAATATAAATTTAATTGAGAATTAAACATAATTTATCGATCTATAATATTAATAAGGGACATTAATAAATCTATGAAATTATAATAATTGATTACTATAATATTAATAAGAGAGAGACAATACGGCTAAATTATATTTTAAAAAAATCTTACCTGTTAGTAGGAGTGGGGTTGGCGTAGGCCACGCAGGGGATCACGACGGTGTCCTTTAGACGAGCCGACATGTACACCAGTTTCTCATTTATTATAGGCGGCATGGAGCCACGAATTTCTGAAAATAGAAACAAGCGATGCGCGTAGATTCAATTATAGCGCAAAATCGAAGATTAAATCGCAGGACGCTATTGGGTCGCCGCCGCCGCCGCCGTTCGTTCGGGGATCGATTCCGGGCAAGTTTGCCGTGTGATACGCGGAAAATATGTTCATAAATCGTTACTGTCCGCGAAGAGGGAAGGAAATGCGAGATCTCGGGCGGCAAGAGACGGGTGGAACACGGGGGGGGTGGAGGAAGCAAAAAGAAAAAAAAACGGCAGGACTCCGCGCACGCATCCAGCGCGACGTTTAATGGGGAGTTATGGTCGCAGATAACGCCACGTCTTACGACACGGTGCACTATGAAGCGGAACCAACGTTAGATAACGACGATATATCTCCGCGCTTTGGCGAGAATTTGAAATTACGTCACGCGCTATCCAAAACGTCGGAAAAATTACGTTTCGCTCGAACGGCAACGTCGAGCGGAACTCCTGCACGAAACTTGCGTCGAGTATTAACGAAATTTCGCAATATTTTCTTGTTTTTCTTTTTTTTTTTTTTTTGAGACCGCATCAGTCTACGTTGAAATAAATTAAAACGTTACGTCTAAAAAAGAAATTCATATGCAACACGCATACAAATGCGATTGCCGCTGTGTTCGCAATAAAATCATAAAAGTAACATAATGAAAAAAATAAAAATTAAATCGCATTTGTTAATTAAGTTTTTGCATACGGCTACAATATCCTTCGCTATAGCACTCCGCCGAAACTGTATCGCGTAAATCGCTCGCGTTCCTAATTCGCGCCCAGCATACTTTCGGCTATACAATATAATCTCACCTCGCTCAAAATTTCGGATTTTCTTACACGCGGTATGGAAATTCACGAATTAATTTAATATATTGGGGTTACGCGCGTTCTCGCAGCAAAAATAAAGATAATGCCGATTAATGATACATCAAATATGATGCGGCGTATCATGGTCGCGCTACACAGTTATTCCATTTGTTCAATTACGAATGTAGGTATTTTTATTTTGCCGTGGCTATGTTAAAATAAAGCCACTCAATCTAACCCCCTCCCCGCCCCGTGCATATCTGCGGTAGAAATGTAGCGTGGTTTATTGATTCATCCATAGATACTCAAGTGCCCTCCTCTTCGGCACGTGTGTTATTTCGCGATCAAATGATGTGTGGACAGCGTCGCACATACGTGCTGTTACATTTAACGGGGAATTAATGCGCTGGATTACGGCGGCGAATACTCGCCGCGAGCGTTCATACATACCTCTTGTACGTTGCGACAAAAACATTTATCGTTTACGTGAGATACGTTTATACAGTAACCGTATATGCACGTTGCCTCACGTTGCATTTCCCAATATGATTAAAATTAATAGCAAATGTCAATGCGAGGAATAACAATGCTAGCGTTAATTAATTATAACGTTACACCTAATGTTTTGTTAAGTGCAGTTTCGCAGAATTACGATTCTTCGATCGACCGAAGGAAAGAATTTAATGATTTAAATGGTCATGTAGAATGCAGACCTCCGAAACAGGTTAAAACTAGAGCAAACCAAATTAAACAGAAATGTAAATTCTACAATATGTTTTAATAAATTAGAAATTTCTGTCACAGAAATTCAAAATGATGTGTTTTCGAGACTACATAATTTTATAGAAAAAATTCAGATGTCAAAATCTGGAATTAAACAAAAAGAACGATTTTGCTGAATCTAGAAATTTAGCTAGTTTCAAATCTGAAAATAACTTTGTTTGAACCATCAAAATAATTATGTAGAATGTTTAAACGTTAATGGCAATGTTGCAAAAGTTTTAATGTTTCAGCAACCAGAATTTAAGCGCCCTACATAATTATTTTGATAGATCAAACAAAATTATTTTCAGTATCTAGCTAAAATTTTAGATACTTCGGCCAAACTGTTTTTCACTTTCCGTGAATAAACGGATATAGGTGTATCGCTGAATTGTGTACCGGAATCGTTTCATGATCGTGCGTTATTACGTTCTCCGAAATTGCGCGATAAATGTTAACTTTATATACTGGCTCTCTAAATTTTCGGCGAGCCCCCTGCTGGGATTTACACTCTCGCGGATAATGCGCCGAAAAGTTTCCTCATTACTCCGGGAAAACTACTGTACATCGAGATTTTGGTTAATTTAGAGGGTATATACCAACCAACGGTCCGAAGGCGCGCGTCGAAATATGCAAACGATCAAATTTCTCCTGAACTTCATTATTAAGTTATTAACTACCTAAGTGCGCTTAGCATAAATTTCTATCTTACGGCGGAAGATATCCAGCGCGGCGGGGCCCAGCCCGGCGGGGCCGACTTTATTACGAGTGCACGAGCGCGAACGCGTACGTTTCTGGAAAATTGAAACCCGTGAATTTTTTAACGTCCGCCGAGATATTCTTGCTCGGGCACGTCGAATCGGTTTTTCTTGCCTGATTATGCGGCGGCACACAAACGACTACGCGTTCCACTCTCCGCCTAGCTCCATCCCGCATCTCATTCTCCTCTCAAGGATAACATTGAATTATAAAACGTCATTCGATTGTCATTATCGATGATACGCTACAATTTAAATTGTTTCATTGTTATGATATAATACATCATGTATTATTTCAATAATTACTAAATAATTATATTGATTCAACAGTAATTGTTATATTACAGTTGATATTATTTTGTGTTAATATTATTCTGTTTGTATTGTAAAATTCGAAAAAAAAACCCGTGCTATCCTCGATATTAGCTGTTGATGCAGCATTTTCTTTTTTTAAGGTTAATTTTATTCGTTCCCTTCTGCGTTCGCAATTCGCTTTGAACAAATATTTATCCCGTCTGTATATCGCTGCTAGGCTTTCACCGAATATCGTTTATTCGGCAAGCCGTCGAATGATACACGAGGTAATTAACTCACGAGTGAATTGTGGCGATAATTAATTGATGTTTGTTGGAAATATTTGTGTGATTAGAAATATACCAAAGCGGCGTGCTGATTATGGATTTCAAACATGTCGTACCTAGTTAAATCGTGTTATATTAACCCAGCTAATTTCCGAATTGAGAAACTCTTTCGACAACAGTTTATTTAATCGCGATATGATAAAGCTTACAAAATTTGCAATAACCGCGCGTATTAATTAATTGGCGCTATTATTCGGAGCGCGTCTATGATCAAGGCGGTTTTACAAATGCAACATGGAGAATTTTGTTTGCAAGTATAATATAAGAGCAGAAAGTAAACGGGCGTATAAAATCACAGCTCTGTTCGAACCTACGAGAAACTTTAAATAAGTCGCACATCCTCCGAAATTTGCGATGTCACAGGAGATCCTCCTAGTTTTAAAGTTTCAGAACACACACTGTCCCTCTCTCTTTTCTTCTCCATCTAGTAGTTTTGAAAATCTAGAATATAGTTTATAGGGAGACGCGGCGAGAAGACTTCACAATGAAGATACCCCGATAAAAGAGTATCGATCAATATTCCATCATAAATATTATTTCAGTTTTCCTCGTGATATACGAGATATCAATTTCAATCGCGTACATCAAATAAGAACAACAGACGGATAATGTATTTGTAATGATCCCGGAAGAATTGACGTCATCAGGTCAGCTACATCGCGATGGCATTGCGATAGGAAAGGTAAGCACAATGGTTTGCATTTCCCTCGGCGTTCATGCGGATGCGATTAAAGTTCCACTTAATTTCGAACGCGATGTGACATCCTACGAAGAAGAGAAACGTCATTAGCGGGACCGCTTGGGGTAACTTCCTTCGTCCTATCTTCTCTTCGCCCTCATTTATTCACTTCTTAGTAATTTATTCAGTTCTCAGTAACATAAGGCCATACTGTCATCGCTTCTTTAACCATTATCTAATTAAACATCGACCGCGCCCTGTCGAAGAAGTCTCACGCTGATCGTTAAACGCACTGTTTTTACCTTCTTTCATCCCCAGCGACCACTCCGCTATCGCGAGATAAGATCCGAGTTAACGCGCTCCACGCGATAGGGAACAAATTGCAATAGCGCAAAAACGAGGACGATGCTCCCCGGAATTAATTATTTACTATCCGTTCGATGATATCTTCATTCTTGACGATCTCTTTTGATCGTGCGGACATTAATTAATCAGTGACTCATGTCGATGATCATGTTAATAATGCAGATAAATATTCATATATAATTACGCACTTTTGTAAACTTCAAAACTTTATTTTTATTAAAAATTTCAATAACGCAGATGTATCTTGCACTCGATTTGTGGGACAAATTTTCCCTTTTCGCCGCGCTCTTCTTTGGTTGCTTTCATTCCAAATGAAAAAAATGGGAAATATAATTGCTGCGGTATCGATCGAATCGGGTTCAGGTAAAGTAAACATTTAATTAAACTCCGCCATACGTCCGTTATACGTTCAGCTCGAGGCGGAATTTACCGTTCGACAAGCACAACGGATATCCAAGGCTTCTATTCTGTTTACGTTTTCGAAAAATTTAATAATTGTCGAAATAAATTCATCTTTGTATTTGAAACTATGATGGAACGATAGAATAAAAATAATAAGATAGTATCTGTAGAAAATCCAGAGGAATAAATAGACTTCTTAATATAATATGTTTGAATATAACAATTTCATTGACTTCATTCATAGTTCGGAACCAATTTTTCCCCGAGGAAAATATCGAACTATTGTTTTCGAATAATTAGAGCGATAGAAAATAGTTTTCTCAACGAAATCAACTTCGGAGGAGAAACTAATTGAAAATAATATATTGTTTAAAATAACAAGAAATAATAAAATAACGACCATATTTTCTATAATTAATTAAAATTCGTTAATTTTTGTCCGGCAAACTTGACTTTAATAAAATTTTAATATTTAATTTAATGCTTGGAAATTAATTTAGCTATTTTTTAATTATAAGCATAATATAATTCTGAATATTAATAAATTTTAGTCTAGATATAAACAGAATTTTGATAGAATTTAACTATGAATAACATTCTCTCTCTCTCTCTCTCTCTCTCTCTGATATATTTTAATTATTATAATATATATACGGAAAAAAATACGACTATGATTAAAATTGATCAAGGAGTCCCTTACAAAGTAACGCGATGCAAGCTTGGGCGTCCCGAGTGTACAAGGAGAAAAATCTGTGACGTACTCACCAGTCAGTTGCAGCCGCCCTACATTGCTGCTGACGACGGTATCCTGAGTTAGCCGGTGATGCGTTCTGCACCGATACGTCATCTGCGCGTCGCTTCGCGTAATATTGATTATCATCAACTCGCCGGTCGGCAGCATATGATATTTGCCATCTATAACAACACGCGTGACGGGGGGGTTGGAGAGGAGGTTTGAATTACGTTTCTATCATCATGGAAATCTAAATTGATCGGAAGGAAATTACGTGTTTATACGTGCGCGCACGTAGATGACGTCATGCAATATAACTCCTGTTTTCCAGCGATATAATTAATTTACACGACAATACCCAATATTCGTGCGCGGTAAAAGGTAACTGTAATTTTAGAATAATTCAATTCCTCCTGTTTCATATTAAATAGAATAATTCTATATTCCATTTTAGAGTAATTACACATGTGCTCGTCCACATTGAAAAATAATGTAAACGTATCTCTCTATGTATATATTATTTCTGTTGATTTTTTAATTTGCTTACCGCCCATTGTGGAGGGATAAATATTGAAGACTGGTTCTTGGAGCCAAGACGTGACCGTGACGTGATCGCGAACAAAACTGGGCACGTTGCAGCGCATGAGCACGTTGTTGCCGAGGAAGCCACTGGGATTTTGCACTTCCGGATCGTAACGTTGGTTTACCACTGCAACGATAAGTTCCACTTTCCATGTATCCATATACTATGGTTTCGAGGACCATAAGAACGTAACGTAAATGTTAATGGTACCGCAGCCGCACAACATTACAATTCACTTTGATACACGTTTGCTGATAAGAACCAAAACGACCCAATGCGAGACAGTTTGCCACGTTTTCAACGTTTGAGGCCGCTTCTAATTAGAGTTTTCTAAATGTATATGCGGACATACGTAATTTTATCCCTCCCCCCCTCTCTCTCTCTCTCTCTCTCTCTCTCTCTCCCCACTTAATGATCTGTTTAACGCATGTTTGCGGGTAAACACGCGTTACATTTACTGCGAATATCCGCATGTTAAATTTACAGGATCAGTTAATAAAATGAGTAACAAATAGCCTTCGTTAATTTACTAGAAATTTAATAATAATTGCACAGAATAACGGAACACAAAGGATGAACAATGGTGGAATATTTGATGCTACGAGGAAAGCCGGGAAATGATCACGTATGTTAAATTATTCAGATTTACTATGCGCTTTTAGTCATTTTTTGCTAAGTAAATAAAAAGATAAAAACTAAACTCGCTTTCCTCATATCGTACCGTACTTTTACAATTAAATCTTTTACGTTGAGCGAACAATTTAATGTATTCTGTGTTAGGGAAACTTTGTAGTTTATAGAAAAGTTATTTGTTCGCATTAATAATTGGCTTAGAAAAAAAGGAGACAGTTATGAAAAATATGGAATAACGCGAACTTCTTCGGATGAATCATGTCATCCTCTGTTTAACCACCGTCATTTCTACACGGCCAACTTTGCGCGACTAATGTGAGAAGGCTCGCAGGTTTGATAGAAACGAGACAGCACAATATGGCTAGAGTAGAAAATATCAAAAGGTTGCGGTCTTATCCAAAATCTCATGTCGCGATTCGCCCCTGACCCGGCAGCACGTAAGTTGATGGGCTCGGCTGAAAGGTTGGTAAGGGCATGTCTAAGAGGTGGATGGAATAAGGTTGTAAAGAACGTGGAAGGCAGTCAGGCAGGAGTCTAAAAGAGCGACAGAGAAAGGGGAAGTGAGAGAGAGAGAGAGAGAGAAGAAGCAAAGGAGAGAAATAACGAAAGAAGAAGAAAGAGGATAGAGAAGCGGACGATGGTGGTGGCGGCAGCCAGGGAATCGCTGTGGTGTGGTGGTGCGTTGGGTTCTCCGCAACCCGTTTCGAGAGTCAGCGGAGCGAGGCACTCAGACTTCAGAATGGGGTAAAAACTCAGTGAGTTTGCCCGTACTCCATCCACCTCCTCGTGCTCGTTCTATCCCCTCGCCTACCCTCTGCGAATGCTACCATTCTCTCTCTCTCTCTCTTACATCCTTTCTAGTTACGTTTCCCCTCGACAGCCTTCCTTTTCTAACTCTCTCCGTATATCGCTCGTTCGACTCTCTCGGTTACGCGGCAACCAAGCTGAACATAAACTCGGCAGACGTCTCGTGGCAGGTAATATTTACAAAGCATGAAACGAGCAGAGAGAAGAGATAGCGGAAGGGAATGCAAAAAGAAGAGGGAAAGGACGAAGAGAATCAAAGGGTGAAAGACAGAGAAAAAGATGCCACGCGCAAGAACAGCGATGTCAACCTGCTTTCCATCACAGAGCACACATCCATCCTCCCTACGAATCATCCACTAGAAATGAAAACCGCGCTTTTTCGACAACTCAGATTTTATGCAAAAGTATCGAGAAGAGAATCTCTCATAACGACGTGATTACGCGACAACGAATCCACAAGTCTCTGACGAGTAGCGAGTGTTTTAAGGTCGAGAATGCGGATAACACTGTTAATATATACAATAGATACACGTATGCGTATGTATGTGTATTCGTGCGCTCTTAAAGAATAAAAATGTAATTCAGAATAAACCAAATAAAAATTATACATGTATAAATCATAAATTATTATAAGAAATATTGTAATAACTTTTTCTGTCTTTATACATAATTCTATAATAAATTCCTTTAGATTTTCTACTTCGGTACACATCGAATTGAAAAGTATTATTTAAATCAATTTAATAATAATAATAATAATCTAGTGCACGAAGTAAAGACGCCGAAATATCCGAGTTATTTTGAAACAATAAGCTGCTAAGCTGAGAGACGCGACATGAGGTGGAAAACGTGAGTAAAAGTCCGTCTCGTAAAAGTGAGCGACGCGGTTCCTCCCTGTAGTTTTTATAAAAGAGTCTAGTGCGGTCGTTAAACTTACTCATTTTCTCGGTGTAAGGCAACACGTCGTACGTATTATATATTCGCAAAATAATGCCGTAACGCTTATTTCGTACTGCATGTATATTATATGTGTATCGAGCAAACGAAAAGCAACGACTGCCGAATTTTTTGAGGTATATTAATATGTTTCTCGGTCGCGTCCACTTTGTTCATTTCTACGAAATAAATAACGAGTTCCGCGAGTTGTTCGAGCTGAATACGAAATTTAGTTTGTCTTCGAGCTAACACGAATCCGTGTTGAATACAGGCAAACAGCGAAGGAGGAACGGCAATATCTGCAAAATGATATTCGTTATCCCTCCTCGTTACGCGACTCCTTGCTGTATCGGTATAGATAGACTGAATTTTTCTATATCTTTTCAGCTTATTATGCGTATTCCAAGTCATGTCATAGAAGGTAGCACGTATTCTCGAATAAAATACTCCATATTTCCAAGCTTGCAAACTTCCTTGCAAACGATGCCCTGGCGGCAGTTATTTTCCGCCATCCCTCGTCATCCTTTATGTCGTTTGCCTTACATCGTTCGGGACATTCGGGATCGATGATGAAATATGTCAAGTAACGACGAGACTAATGGCTTGTTTGTCTCGTAACTCTGCGGGAAAATACTGAACGATGGAAGTCACTCCCACGAGATGGTGTTTTTCGGTTGAATTCCACGTACAGGAACAACGGACGTAATGTATCGTCATTAGAATGTATCTTTCAGCCTGTAGAAAAATAGCCAAGATAAACCACGAAGTGCAGGTTTTCGCATGAAAATGGAAAGAAGAATCATAAACTGCTTCTTTAGAAACCAATCCCCTTACGGAAGCTTCCTTTTAGAGTGGCGGAAAGTTATCTTCCTTACAGAGACAAAGTTACTCCGCATGACATGCTATCCTCTTTCTCTCTTCATTTTTTGACAAAGTGTCGCGATTACGCACGGCAGCTGCCGAGGTGGTGGAAAAACGAAAAAGGTGACATTTCCGGCGGCAACCGGCAACGTACTCGAGCGATCGTGCACGCAATCATATCCATTTTGTTTCCAAGAATAGGGCGTGCGCGCCCGAAAGATTTTTCTCGAGGACGGAAGGAAGCGCTAGCTGAAGTCGGGCGTCGAGCACGGAAGCAGCGAGGAGGAGGGCGATGGAAAAGGCAGGATGAAACCGTGGAGGAGATGAGCAAAAAGGAAATGGCTGAGGCGGATACTAGGAGCTGACGCGGCAGAGGCACCAGGCATGAATCTGAAAAGGTATGGGCTGCGTTCACGCGACGATGATTTACGGGCGTATTAGGTCGATAAGATATCTTCCGGTTCGTTGACCTGGCGGAAGCTCTATTTTTAAGGCGCCTCGCGGCCTCCTTTTACTCCATTTACCCGTCCCTGCCTCTTTCTCTTTTCTCGCCGTCTTCTACTTCGATACTCTTGTAGACGCGAGTTTTGGAAGGTATCGCGTCGTCGCGAGCGGAAAGAATCCATAGACGAATCTTCCTTCCATTAACGTGATTTCAGTGACTAAGTACCACGGTTGCTCAATACGAGATTTCTAATATTCTATCAGATCATGCCTGTCAAATTTTATTTTCCTTATACAAAGCAGATCAATATTAAAAATTCTTGTGTGCGGAATCTTTGGCGTAAAGAAATTTAATGTTAGAAATTAGAGAGTTCAATATTTAAAAAATTCCAATCAGATCGCACACTTATCCGTTGACATCATGTCAAGTTGGCCCCCTAAAATATAATTTTCGTATATCTTTTGAACCAAGGGTGAGCAAACGAAATTCCAACTGAGCATTCGTGAGCAAACAATAAGCAAACGAATGCATGAAGAAAAAAATCGATTTTCTAATATTGGGGGGCTAGTGTGAAGTTGGCCCCCTAAAACACAATTTTCGTATATCTTTTAAACTAAGGGTGAGCAAACGAAAATTCCAACTGAGCATTCGTGAGCAAACGATGAGCACACGAATACATGAAGAAAAAAAATCGATTTTTTAATATTGGGGGGCCAGTGTGAAGTTGGCCCCCTAAAACACAATTTTCGTATATCTTTTAAACTAAGGGTGAGCAAACGAAAATTCCAACTGAGCATTCGTGAGCAAACGATGAGCACACGAATACATGAAGAAAAAAAATCGATTTTTTAATATTGGGGGGCCAGCTTCACACGGGTTTTGTTTAGTATCTAAAAATTCAAGCAAATCTAAATCTAAATAATTTTGTTGAACCATTATAATAATTATATTAATGTAGGAAACTCCAGTTTAATGAGCAATGCTATAATAAATTTTGATATCCTAGCGACCAGATTGACCTACATAATTATTTTAATAGTCTAACGAAATTATTTTTAGATTTACATCTCTAGTTAAATTTGTCGATACTTCAACACAGAATCGTTCTTTCTTTGCAGTAATTTATTTAATTCACTAATACGAGAAATACTTCTAACAAAAGTAAATTGTGAAAATCAAGTTAGTTCGATTATTTAATTATTACTCAAAATTTTACCGCAAAGCTGAGAGCTCGTTTACTTAATTTTTCAATAATTATCTGATACGATAATATAAATTGTCACAATTCTTCAATTGTCTTAATCCAGATAGCACACATTATTCTACGAATATTTTACATACTTCAATGCTAATATTTTTCTCCGAGAACATTTCTAAAATATCTCTAAAACGTTCAAAATGTTATTAAACATTTTGAATGTTTTTGAATATTCTACAATATTAGGGGAATATTGCTTAGAAAAGTTTCCTACAGAATACATCTGAATCTTGCAGTCACTAATTAGGTTTCTGTGCTGTAATCAAATTAATTTTACCTCCTTTTTTGCTTCTTTAACCTCTTGCACGTAATATCGATCTGTGTCCTGTGTCCAAACTTGTACACAAAAACATTATATATTCGTGTTGAAAGCAGTCCACTCACGTTCTTATTAATGTTTGTATGCGTTTTTAACATTTTTTAATTAATATTCAACGTTTCTTAGTGTCCAAATGACTCAATTTATAGGTAAGTAAACAAATAACAAAAATAAAGTGTTTTAAAACGTAAATTTTAAAATAAATAATAGAATAAAATATGGATAAATTTAACGTATCACATAAACGTCAATTAAAAAAAATATGCTTCCATGATTTTTTACAAACTTTATCAATATTATTACCTTTTCTGTATTTATTCTTTTACATAATATTTATATAACCTTCTAATATATTCATCTTGTGTTAAATTAGAAATTTAAGTTGACCGTTTGAAACATGCGATTTATGTTAAATTCAACTCTCATCTACTTCAACAGTGTAAATGTGCAAGAAGGTATACAAATTACAAATGCCATATAAAGACTGTTTTTATAACTCTACAAACTTTCCTAAAATTACAAAAACAATTTCATTGAATATGCTACAAGTATGATCTGTAAAATGTGTTTCTTTTACACTTTTTACATATCTTTTGAGAATACTCCAAAGTTTTCGAAAAATATTTATAAAACATTTATATGTAGAATGAATTGTGCTATCAGAAAATTTTTACAATCCGAATAATTTAGAATATAACTTGAGTACTTCCAAGTTTCCTCCATATACACTTTCATGTAGTTCACGGAAAGAACAATTTTTCTGGAGCATTTTAAAATTTAGATACATCTCTAAAAATAATTTTGTTAGACCATCGAAATAATTATTTAGGAAACTCGAGCCTGATGAGTAATGCTGCAAAAAGTTTTCTGGTTTTAGCAACCAGTTTGAGCATCCTACATAATTATTTTGATAGTTGATCCAACGAAATTATTTTCCGGTCTGTATCTACTTAAATTTTCAACATACTTCAGCAAAAGTATTTCTTCCGTGAAAAACACTTACATATTATTAAACACAGTAATTTAACTTCCTAATACTCGAAACCTCAAAGTACGACAAATAAAATTACTTTTATTCAAGTCGAAGATCAAGTTATTTAGTAACTCATTTATTTAACTATTACATCAGAGAGAGTTCACCACAAAAAGCTCTCTTATTTAAATCTCTTTAATTTAATTTCTCAATGAATGTCTAATACGACAATTCACATTATACAATTCTCTTAACGCGGCAATAATTGTCCGATACGATAATGTAAATTGTACAAGTCTCAATAACTCGATTATTTCCAAGATTTCTCTATATACGTATAACATTTTCTTTCAATGGAATACCAAATTGCGATTTCAATATCTAGTAATTCCATTATCCTTTAGATTCCGCTGTGACACGACGGAGAGACAGCCCCATTACTTAGTTCGCCGATTATAATCTGATACGATATATATATATATATACATAAACGGGAGCGCGAGAAGGAAATTTCATCTCACCAGTCCTGAGACCAGAAGAGGCGATCGAATCTATAAGCCGTGAGCGCGAGTCCATCGTCTGCGTGAATACACACGCGCACGCGTCGCTCTCGTAAGGTCTTCATCTCCACGACCTACGTAGGATACGAGGAGGACGCCGACGACGTCGGGGAGCAATGGGAGGAATAATGGGCACAGAGAAGCGGACCGCAGATAACGAGCTTGGCAAGTTTCGCTCGGTTGACATACCTGCCCTGACGGTGACGTCTCTGCTAACGACCGCGCCGACACTGTTGACGGCGGAACACTTGTAAATGGCCCAGTGGACATCCTGCCGGAAGGCCTCGGCCTCGAACGCGGGGAAGTGTATCGTCCCGTTGCCGAGGACATGCCTGATGCCGAGGATGTTCGTTATGCTGCCGCCGTCCGCCGCGAGCCAGTCGACGGTTGGCAGTGGATTTCCTCGCACGGTGCAGTCCACCCGGCCGCCGTTTACGTTGGTGAACTCCACCCTTGACGGCGGCTCCGTCACGAAGCTGGGCCCCTGCGTTTCGTAAGAGGCGTCGGCGGTACCTGCTTCGCAGCACGGGACAGAAACGAAAGATATGTATTAATGGCAAAACGTAAAGCGGCTTAACTGTATTCAATTAAGATTATCGCTCTTTTTCCCCCCCACTTTCTCTGCCTAGCATACATATTTCGCGGATATCTGCTGCGCCTTCCGCCTCCCTTTTCATTATTCATTTCGCAACGCCGCGGCCGCAGCGCCATACAACTTTAAATACGCTTAAAATTTCCATTACCAGCGTCGTGCTTTCGCGAATTCCCGGAAAACTCGCCGGGGCCCGAAATCCGGACTTGTCGTGGATCTTCGCGCGGACGAACCGGTTTCGCTAGACGCGTGCCCGCTTTACTTTGAAGTTCTAATGCGCCATAAATTCTGGAGTATTATACGAATAACAATCAGAAACGCATTAATCACGCAGCAGCGTCCACGAATGGACACTCAGCGGTGGATTTTTCGTTCGCCACCGGCCGAATGCGAAGTAATTTTCTGGACGGGGTGGGGGGGGGGGG